TTCCTCCTCGTAGACGCCAGAGAGCACTATCTTCCCTGATTTCGGTCTAAGTCGACCCAGGGTTGATAAATGAGTTACGGTCATCAACGTTTGTACGGTACACCATGGGTAGCTACCCCACTAACGCTCCCGAGTAGACCTTCGCTGCCGAAAGCTTGACCAACAATCCCCCCACACTTTGTACCGGCGTCTATCCTTCAAGCTTCAAGATATCTACGTACCGCTTGGTGCTCCTTCTCTTTTGGGTCATTTGGTCGGTCAATTGAAAACAAGGTTCTTGAGTATGTTAGGTCTGACATTTTGTCTTGCATTATCCACCCCTCTCCTTGCGGAGAATTTAGGATAGTGCCTGACCAGATTCCCACCGCCCAATGGGAACCGGTATTGTTTTACGGTTATCTCACCACGAGTCCCCAACCTTCATGTGCATCGCACATTTGACCAAAAGGATTGCTGTGTCTATATTTATGCTTCGTTTCCGTTTTCGTGTTGGTATGTATGTAAGGTGGGGGGGGGGTTGAGAGCCGGAGTGGCGATTCTCTGCGAGCCAAGCTTCGCGTCGGTACCGCAACGTGCTACAATGGTGCACCAAGAATTCTTCGGTCCAGTAGGTCAACCCTGGGATGCACGCGACAACCCCCCGGCGGACGTCACAGAATAGCACAGCCTTGCCGTGTACCTGGCACTTGAGGTCTTTGACCATGGGATGCAGGGGGCGTTCCACCTCGCTGTAGTGCAGGCTCAGGGTCACGGGGTCGATAGCCCCGGCCCCGGCCCCGAGCCCGCTCGGGGTGCTTGCTCCTGGTGCACGGCCAGAGCCCCCGAACATCCGCCCTACCTGAGACTCCAACCGAATGATCTGAGGCATCGACGAGGCAGTTGTTGGGGGATGGGGGTCGCATCACATTTTCAACGTAAACACCAACGCGAAACTTACCGTTTTGGAATAACGCGGCCACGTCCACCCTGACCCGCGCGGGCGCCGCGTGGAAAAACACATGGTAGCAAAAGGTGTTTCGGGCCTCATGAAGACACGTACATAGCGGAGAAAGAACAACAAAGGAAGAACAGAAATCAATGTCCTGAAGCACGCACTTCCAGCGACGTATCCCTCGCTTCCGCCGCGGCCCCCCTGGCGGAGTTCGAGTGTTGCTGGAACGCGGTGTCGTTCCGCGGGGACCGCACGTAGTTGGCGATGATCAGCCCTTGCAAGAAGAGCGCGTTGCAGTCTGGGTCCTTGTCGTCTTGCGGCAGGATAAGCACGGGGTTCAGAAGAGTGGCCTTGAGCGTCAACGGCGTTTTCGGCGCTCCGTCCTCTCCCCTGATGGTATCGGAAATGATTAGGAGGGGGAGGAGTGCATGAGCTACACGGACTCTTGAGTAAACCCCAATGCCACGGAACGGGCTTTGTGGTAAGTAGCGTTGTCAGAGTTCGCTGGTCGGCGAGAGGGTAGAGTGTTAATAGACATTTACCCCCGCGATTATTATCGGACCGATGAAGATCTTCGAGAAAAAACAAAAACATCACGAAAGAGGCTTGGATGAAACAAAACAGCGACTGCGGCGGGATACAACACGATTCACGGACGAGAATTGTGCGTCTGCGAGGGCACGAAATCCGCGATAGCGGCGGGGAACAACACACGATACACGCACGCACGTACCCTTGTTGAGTCAGCTGGAGCGCTGCAAGATCGTGCATGCACTCCGCCTCCGCTGCCGCCCCCAGGCCGCCGGTTGCCGCTCGAGTTTCCTGGTTGTGCACATTGACAGACATTGCGTTCAAACATGGGGGAAGGGCGAAGGGCAAAGTCAAGTGGCTACACCTAAAGTTCCAAGTCGGAGCGCAACATGTCCAAGAGCGAATGAAACCGTCAGTTCGGAGCGGAGCGAACCCCCAGGGCAAACCAACCGCATGGTCTTCCGCTCAGAGAGGGATGTGCACAAAATGCAACCCACTGATTTCTTGTGTTCGAAAGAAAGTGGAGAGATTAACAAAATATTATGCTGAGTGGCCTTCCTCCCCGTGTGATCCCGGCGGATGCGCCCAGAAATCGTATCGAAACGTGTGAAAATAACGTCCAGAAAGTAGGGCGACACAGACAAACGCTGCGACAGGAAAGCAACACTCTACAGAGTGGGATTGCTCTATCTGCAAGAAATGAGGGACGGGAAGAGAGGGGGGGGGCGAGGAAAGGGAAATGCTCGGATAGCGGGAGATGCAAACTTGGAGATGCAAACTTGACTTTCCTAGGTTTAATCCAGAGTCTGCACCCCTTTCAGAACACGCTCAGGCTGGCCTTACAGTAGCACTAACATACTACCTTGACATTACGCTCCGTTCCAACGCCTTCTCCAGGAGTTCCAAGCCCGCTGCTGTGTGGCGGGCCCACAGGGGACGGGTCTCTCTCGTCCCCGGGTTTCCAACCATACATCGGCGTCGGTGGCGGCGGGGTCGGTTTTGCCAGCACGTGGAGCTTGTGTATGGCGGAAGGGACTGCTATCGTTTCCAGGTGGTTAACCATCACCTGCGGCGAACACATCCGAGTGTTACCCAGAAGAAACGAGTTGTAGGGCGTTGCTATTGAAGGGTGCGCTTCGCGCTGGGGGTAGCTGGTGGAGAAAATATGCCTACAGCACACGAAAAGGGTATGTTCACTAAATTTGATCGTGTTTTGATGTACTGGCTTTGGCGTGCTTGGCCATGCAAGCACCTGACAGGGTGCACATATCAAGAGGGGGAATTTGTTCAATTTTGTGGTAGTTCGCTCTTGGTGAGGAAGACGTACAAACGAGGTACCACATGAATTACGGCAGTAGGCGTGCGTCATCCGTGGTATCACCAAGACCCCGCCCAACCTTGAATTGCACCAATATCAAGCGGTGTTACGAGCCGAAACTTTGTTCAGGTCGTCACCATTCCTGACATCACCGGCACCAAAAACACATAAACACCAAAAATCCCTTGTCTTCCTCACGCAGACAGTAGTTTCGAGTCTTGTCTCCTGCACAGGTGAAAACCTCGGATACGCTTTTGGCTAGGTTGGGGCAAAACGCGGTGTTCGAAGAGGGATTGAGAGAAAGAGAGAGAGAGAGAGAGACAGACAGACAGACAGAGAGAGAGAGAGAGGGACAGAGAGAGAGAGAGAGAGAGAGAGAGAGAGAGAGAGAGAGAGAGAGAGAGAGAGAGAGAGAGAGAGAGAGAGAGAGAGAGAGAGAGAGAGAGAGAGCATGCCGACAGACAGACAGACAGACAGACAGACAGACAGACAGACAGAGACAGAGAACAACGACGCACCTGAACCTGGGCTTCCGTTTTCGGAGAGAAGTGATAGCTTATCACAACCTGAGGAGGGCGCATCTCCCCGGATACCGGAACGGGGGCTGCTGCCAAAACGCCCCGGGGTAGACATGCGGACAAAGAACGTCCAAGGTAGGGTTAGGACAACGGTCGGGGGGCCGAGAGACTCGTCAGCCTCAAACAAGGCAAAGAGGTCCACTTTTTCGGACGGATGCATCCAGGAACGGCAATGCGATTCTTGGTGGGCAAGCGTACGCAAAGCTGCTTTTCAAAGAACGCTCATGCGCACCCCCTTACCCTGCGAAATGGTGCGTAGGTACCATCCGTTTTCACCTGGCGAGACGATGCGTGAGAACGCCGTTCCCGGGGAAAGGTCCAGCAGCAACACCGCGCCCACCGACCCCTCCAGCCCGCCCATGCGCCTGGCCGAGCGCCGATAGGTCAGCTCGAGCCCATCGCCGAGCACAGACATACCTCCCGGGGTGGGGTGCCCGGTACCGCGGCTGCGGTGCCCCGCCGGGAACCCCTCGTTGCTGTCCTCCTCCTCCTCTCCAGCCCCCCACGGTAACGAAGCACTAGAGGGCAAGAAATCCACCTGCACGTGGATAGGGGAGCGAGTGGTTGAGTACTTTATGCGTTGAAACTCGTTTGGCCGAGATCGCGCAGGCTACCAACGCTGCTGCACCGCGGAATTGACCTTAAGAAAAACGAAGCTGTGCCGTTGGCGGTTGTTTGTCCGTCGTTGACCGGAGTAAGACGCCACCAAGCTTTCGGATTTTCTTCGTTTGTCAAGGAAACGGTTGGGCCAATTATTTCCCCCGTCTCCAGTCTTGCCGGCTTACCGTAGAGTAAACACCCGACGGGACAACATTCTTGGCGTCTACCCTATTGCCACCGGGGGTGTTAGGCTGTGTGTGTGTGGGGTGTTGTCTATTGTGAAAAAGGTAGCTTCTGCTGAAACCATGATGGTCCTGTAGTTTCTACGGAACGCAGCACAATCCGCCGCAACACGGGGGAGGGTCCTTCTCCCACCTGGATTCTCGGGATTTCCAGCGCTACGTCGACGGCGGTCACTGGGCCGTCGTCCCCGTACCGGTAACGGACTTGTCCCGCGGGGCTCACGGAAGTTTCCGGGAATACTCTTGCGGCGCAATTGTCGCAGATGAGGGAGGGGAGGACGATGGGGGCATCGCCCTCGCCTGTGTTCCCGCCGGGGGCATTTGAGGTGCCGTCATCGTCGTAGATCAAGACCTGCCATCCACCCAGATCCACTCGTGTATAAGTTGGTTTTGTTGGCGGGTACACGTATGTATCATACGAGACTGCTGTGAATGAGTACTGACTCTGGATGCAAGTACGCATATTATCACCGCAAAGATTTTTCACCGGTTCAGGTCCAAATCGATATTGGGGGGGATCAATTGCAAGCGGCATCACAGCACGCGAACATGATCACATCAAGATCCGGTTTACCCCCCCACCCCGTTCTTCCCGGCCCAACCACATACCCACCTGAGTGTGCAAGCATTTTCTGCAGACCGTGCCTCCGCACCAGGCGCATTCATGCCTTGCCAGGAGCTCGTCGAACGAGTCGGTGCACAATGGGCACGCCAACGGCGGGGAAACCCCGTCCCCTCCCCGTGACCCGACCGCCGTTCCCGATGGCGACTGGGGGGGAGACGGATGCCGCCGCTGGTGCTTCCGCACGGCGCGGGGAGAATAAGGCAACGGGTATCCTCCCACTTCCCCGCCTGCTCTGTCTACGCGGGGTTCCGTTCCACCCCGTTCATGGTGGCGTTTTTCTCCTCCGCCTCTCGTCGTTCCTCGGACCTCTCTTTCCGGGTCGATCTCATCCATCTCTTGTTCCACGCCGGCTGCGTCAGCGCCGCCGAAAATGCTCGTCGCGGCATCGTCGTCATCCTTAGATGCCACGAGAGGAAAGTTCTCGGAAACTTCGCCGTGGAATCCCGCGGCTAGAATGTTTGCGCCTAAGCAACCGGCGAGGGCAGCCCTTGCGTCGGGCGTGAGGGAGACTTGTAGGAGGCGAGGGAGTTCCACCCGCACCTCCATCGTCTTCTCCTGCTCTCCCTCCTCGCCGCTTCCGGCACCTCCATCGCCTTCGGTGCCGTCACTGTTGCACCCCTCGTCCCCCGAAGTCTTTTCCTCGACAACCTTTGCCCCCCCACTAGTCAAACCTACCTGCACCGCAGGGGTTGTTCCTGTGCCGCCGCTGCTGCTGCTGCTACTCCTACCTACCTCTCGGGGTGGGTCTCTGTCATCGCAGTCACTACCGGCGATTCCGGTAGCGCCGTCTGAAGGAGGAGGCGGAGACACAGTCTTCACGGCGACCTTGACGTCTATGGGCTCCTGCAGGAGGGAGTAAAACAGGCCCGTTGCCCGGTGTTGCACAGCGCCCACTGGGCTCTGAGGTCGGGGACCCCGCGGATAGCAGAACCCTAAACCAATGTCTGTCTCGCCGGCTTCTACAGCCATGTGGCGAGCCACGGGACCACCCGGGGAGCATTCCTCGAGCCGCGGTGGAGCACTCCTGGCAGACCAACAAAACACAGAGCGGCGGCGGCGGCTGTTCTTCTCAACTTGAGCGAAAGCCAGACAAGAACAGGTGGAACTAGCTGTCTATCACCGAGAAACACCGGAGAAAAAGCACCGATACACACATCTCGGTTCATCCTCTCGGTGTACAAATGCACGGAAAGCTGAAACGCGAGCGTATTCTGTACTCACGAGTCGTCTGCCCCGCCAGTCCAGGTACTGAACCGGAACGTCTTCGGCCTGAGCGCAAGGTGCCTCGGGTCGGTGAGCGAGCCCGGAAGGACCACCGTGGGCGCCGACAGGGTCACCTGGATTTGCGAAAGGCTTCGCAAGCCGGGGTCCCCTCCATCTGCCGCCGCTCTTTCTTGCTCGCGGGCACCCGGTGTTCTCCGATCGGCAGGAGTAGAACCGTCTGTTCGAGAAAAGTTGACGTGGAGTCGGGAGCGGATAATATGGCAATCTTTTCGGGAGAAAGCGTTACTCGAAGACAGAGCAGTGTTCGTTTCCCAACGGCCCAAACCGCACGGAGAGGTGTGTGCTTAATTAACATCAGATCCACTCTGCGCTTTTTGCGTACCACTTTGTATATGTTTGGAGCTCAACATTGGGCAGATAAAACGCTGCTTGATGATACACACTCACCAGTAGCAGCAGGAGCCCCTTGTTCCGCCTCCTCTTCAGGGACCGCAGAGCCCCCCCACACGGCCGCTCCGAGAACGCCTTCCCACAAGAAGTCGATGACCTCGAGCCACAGCGGCTGGAAGTACACAACCTGAAGCTCAGAGAAGCTCAGAGACAGGGAAGAAGACTCCCATGGTCCAGCAACCCGGCCTTCGGCGGGTGCGGTTGCCCCTTGTAGCAGCGCCGCCGGTGGAATGCGGTACGCCACGTAGGGACCTTCTCCGCTTTCGTCTCCTTTCTCCTTGCTGTAGCGGAAGGTCAGAGAGACAGGTGATTCGGGCTGCTGTGCGGTCGGTCGGGGAGGCGACGGCCGGCCCACCAGTGTCGAGTAGAGCAGGTTCGACGCCCGTGGGTCTCTTGCTGTAAGGTCGTCCAGCCGACCGTCCCACACCACCGTGGACTTGTCTGCATGTTAAAACGGGTAAGGCAAGGTCCATGTTTTTATACTTGAAGGGGAGATGAATCACAGTAACGGCCCGCTCACTAGACACGTCGATCTCGGGTCAAGACTCAGTTTCTGATTCGTTGCCACCTTTGGGTATAGAGTACCATGTAGATGTAGCGCAGGGCCCATGGCTACGTGTTCTCAACCCAGTTCACTTTTGTTCGGGGAGACAAAAATCCTGCTCTGTGCTATAATAGCAAAGTGTTTCTAGCGTGCCGGTACTGAACAGGAAGACGGGACACACTCCTGCGCACCTGTGCGACATCGTCCACCTCTGGCATTCATCCCCCAGAAAATGCGTCAACACGACGATCCGTCAAAACCCTACGAAGGTTTCCAACATACTTCGATTCTGCGTCCCCGTTGGTACTGGGATTTGAACAATGGAGAACATGGGTTCACTCCAACACGGCCGTAGAGAACCGGGATTCAAAATGATGGAAAACTAGTTACCCGTGGCACATCCGCCCGACGATGCTTCCACAGTGAGGGCGAGGGATGCCGCGGACAACGCAATGAGCTGCCGGCCCTCCTTCTCCTTGTTGAACATCACCTGTCAGGTTAGCGGCAACGAGATGGACGCCACAAGCACGAGAAGGCAGTGAGGCGTGTATATCTCGATTTGCCACTTTGTTGTTCGCTTCTTCTGCTCGAAGCCGAGGGCCGCCCTTCGTGCACCGCATCGAAATCTGAGTATCTACTTCGTGAACCACTCACCTCTAACCCCCGACGAGCAGCGACTTCAATCTCCGTAGAGCACGTCGGAGTTGGCGATGCTCCAGTACCGCTCCTACTACCGGTCTCTTGCCCTGCGCCAGCCGCTTTGCCAAGATCCCTGTCACCGCCACCGGGATCAGGTTCCTCCGCTGGCGTGACGCCATCAACGTCAGGGTCTCCGCCTACCCCTGCCGCCGACCGCAACAAGGCCGAGCGAACACCCCACAGCGCCACCAAGGTGCAGGGGTTCCAGTTTGCAGTGACGGGGCCCCCAAGCTCGACCGCCACGGATACACGGCAGTGCTCACCGCTGCTCGCTTCTTCAGCAACCGGGTTTTCCGCGCCAACTCCGAGAGTATCACGGCGTGGCGAGCCGGAAGCAACCGCAATCGCCGCATCCTCCCCATGCCCGAACGACACCACCTTTCTGTAGCTCACTAGAACTGACGGCGCGGGGTTTTCATCGTCCGGTGCTTGCGGCGGCGGCGGCGACTGCGAACGCTGTTGTTGGCCCATGGGGGCGGGACATTCTCCCGACCGTGCTGGGGCCGGCATCGATGGCTCTTCTTGCCCAGAGTGTGAGGTCTTATCTCTCCCGCAAACCGGAGGGCTTCCACTCCTCGCGACATGTCGGCCCTTGTCCTCCTCCTCTTCCAGCCACTCTTGCCAGGTGGGAGAGGCTGGTCTGCCCTCAGACGACGTTCTTACTGGTTTCGCCGCCACCGGCAAGGTTGCTGAAAAAGGGGCACCTGGCTGCTGCTGCTGCTGCTGCGGGGAAGGCGCACGGTTCGAAGGGATAACGAGGAGCTCGCGATATACCCCATGGCAGGGGACTCGCTGCAGCAAGTCGATCACCCTCACCGTTGAAACCGATACCGTTGCCGTGGTAGTAAGAGTCTCGGCAAACCCACCATAATCGTCACCTGCGGAAGCAACGCAGGTCTCTCGTCCGGGTTCCCCGCCTGGTACAACGGTGGAGGCGCCTCCGCCATCGCTGCCACCGCCACGACCAACAACTCGAGAAAAGCTCACAAGCCAATTACCGACGCTCGCCTCCACCACGGGCTGCCCGGGGAAGCCGCAGGTCGCGCTGAGCAATGCGCTAGACATCTTATCAGAGGCCAATCCACCCACTGTTGTCGACATGTCCTCCTTGCCATCCCGGCTGAACCCCGCCGCAAATCTTGGGCTATGTTCTACCCGCGGACCGCTGGCTGTTGTCGTGGTCCACGGCACGGACCCAATCCGCGAGCTGGGTGTGGGCAGGACTCGCTCTTCTTCCAGCTCTTCCCCGTCGTACGTGTTCCGCCTGCTGCTGCAGCTGCTGCTGATGCTCTGAAGAGAAGGCGCAAACGCGTAGTCCTCTGCCTGCTGCTGCCGTGGCAGCGGCTGCGGCGGTGGAACGAAGTGCGTCCCCGAGTCGTCCTCGAGCCTCACGGTCAACCCTGCGCCCGACGCCCGTACAGATAGATCCGCGATGCCAGGAAAACGACGCTGCGGGGTCGTTGCCGGTGGCGATGGGGTCGCCTCCTCGTGTTCTGGCCCACTGCGGACGGACCCTCCGACGCTCGGAGAGGCAGCAGTCAACGATAGGGCACGCGCGACGACTTGAACATCCGAGGGTCGCACAACTGCCCGAACGACCGACAACCCTTCCACGGAAACTCGCCGACGCCCATACACACCTCCTGGAAGCTCGTCGACAGCAGTGGTTGCGGCAGTGGCCGAGGCATCCTTCGATGGAGACAAGGCGGACGGTGTTGTTGATGGTGGTGGTAGTCGTTGTCGCGGTGGGGAAAAGGCGTACGATACCGTCCCGGCAGCTGGCTCGATTACCGTGCGCCACCCTGCAGTCGTCGCCTTGGCATGACGGACATTCGTCCCCCGCTCGTCAGAGAGGTTAGGGTGACCTATAGTCATGTGCATGACAAATGGATCAAAAACAAACATGCAAGCATTTAGTGCCGGTAGGCATCAAAACGCGAGGTTGCAGAACTACGTCGATTGGCTGCGTAGCCCCAGACAACAAGGTCTGTAATGACTAAATGGAGAGGAAAGCGAGCACGTTAAAGCACATGAGGAATAGTTTGGGTACTGTAGGTGACAAAAATGTATCACACACCGACTGGACCGCTTGCAAAGCTCGATGGCTCCACGACACAGAGGATAGAAAGGTCAAACGATGCGCTGTCGGGAAGCTCTCGACGAGGCGATTCCAACGCCCCGCCACTCGTTCTGCTGTAATCGAACTCCCCAAATTGGGCCTGGGTATTATCGTTGTCACCTGTGGTATCAAAAGGCGCGGCGCGGTTAACACCTCTTCCTTCCCTACCTTGAGGCCGATTGGCAACACTGGGCATACTCGTCGTGGGAGAGCGTGCTGCATTTTCTTCTCTGGCAGGTCGATGACTCCTGTGGACCCGTGACGGGTCCTCGTGTTCGTAAAGTCCGCCGCGAAACGGTCGTGAAAACGCCTCGACTTTCGCAAGCCTGCACGACAAGAGTGTTGTCCTGTCAGAGTCGTCATCCCGCCGTCCCGTATCTCCGGGAATCGGAAAAGGAACGGTGGGCTGGAAAGCCTCCGTACCACTCGCGGCAAGCTTGGCGGCCCAGTGCCCGTCCAGGAAGAAAGCGCTTGTCATCCTCATGGACATGTCCACTCGAACCACCACCGCCGCTCCATCTCCTCCTTCCCAACCATTGTCACCCCCCATGCCACACACCCCGGAACGGTCACAACCACTGTCGTAGTTCCATGGCTCTAGTATGAGGCAGGTTTCCGACAGATTGACGTCGAACGCAAAGGCTAGTTCGGCGATCAACCCCGTGTCACTTGCCGCCAGCGGGTCTGCCCTGGCGATACCGACAGCAACATTTGCGGGCTCTAGGTTGCTGCCTTGCGTCGCAGAGTTGGACACCTTTCCGGCCGAAGCTGTGGCATCAATTGGTGGGGCCTCGCGCTCGCCAAAGCTGGTCCATCCGGGTGTACCAGTCCCCGTCGTTTCCTCCCCGGCTACTACCTGCTGCCGTTTCTGCTTGGCTGATTCGTCCTTCGGCGAAAGGCCGCCATTGTCGTCATCTCCTGAGCCGGTGGCTGCCGCAGCCCAGACACGCCACCGGCCCCAACCAACCTTCGACAGCAACACGCTGGCCCCGCTCACCGCGAGCGAGTTAGTGCGGCCACCGTCAGGCCAGCTCCTCTTCTTCCACCGGAAGCAAGCGCCAGAACGAGCGCCGGGAGAAGGAGCCCCCGAACCCGGGGGTGACGCCGTATCACTGTCACCTTCCTGGGGTGGTGCCACTCCATCGCCTACCTTGTCCGACGTGGCCCTCCCTCTTTGCCCGTCAGTCCTCACGGTGATATTATTGCCGGTATCATCGGAGGTAGCCGCTGTTGCTGCTCCAGCTCCGATGTCGCCGGTAGCACCTGGTACCTGTGCCCCCACAAGCGGAGCGCTAGCGCAGAGAGAAAGAGGGACGATTTGCCCGGGGCTCAGGAGCTTCCTGTTCCCACCGTCGTTGGCGCTCAGCTCCTCCCCACGTGTGCTCTCCGTGAGAAGTGGTTCTGCCATGACCACCTCATTACTCGATCGGAAGTCTGAAAACCTGAATTCCCGCATCATGCAGAGGGCAGGAGACAGAACGTGAGAGTAAAAAGGCCGCAAGACGTGTCTTCAAACACGTATGGCCGTGGGAAGCGGGTCACAAACGGTGGTGAGCTGCCAGCAGCTACGTTGTCCTTCCGGATAGGGTGACCCCGGATGCGCGCGAACACCTCGAAGCGAGGAATTCGACGTGTCTTTCGGCGGAAAGACAATAGAAACAGGAAACGACTAAGCTCACTACCTCATGCCGTGATCTTGATTTCAAAGCCTGCCGCATCACGACTGAACCCCTGTTGTAGAATACGACGACTGCCACAGAACCTTGTGTGTTGCGCCAGTTTTCATTTTCCTGCCAACGTGAGCATGTCAACTTCGCTCATTTCCTCCTTTGTCATAAATGACTATTGCCCTACTTCCAGACTACCCCGCTGTCCTAATATCGAACCTATTCTCCAATGCGAATTCCTTCGGATATTGCCGAAGATGAAGAAATGCAATGATGCTTCACTTAAGCACAACACTGGTAAAGGTCATTGATGTTTTCTTTATTGGAGCTAAACACAGGGCGAAGATAGAGACGTTCCCAGCAAGGGGCGCAACAACTCACCTAAGCATTCGCCACGTGAGGAGCGCGCTGCGAACTTTGCCAACCTCAACTACACCGCCGGCCTCCGTCTGAACACCACCGTGGACGTCGGCGGCATTCGGGGCCGCATGACTCTCGCCAAACACACGAGAATCGGGGACAGTGTCCCGACATGCATGAGCGACAAGAGCGACATCCGGGAGGTGGAAAGTAACGTCGAAGGTGGTGGCGATGTCCGACGGGTGTTCGTACGGGAACACGGCTAGCTGTCTTCTCCGGCGGCCTGTCCTCGAAACCGCCGCACTCGTGTGTTCTCCCCTTGCATTGTCGGCCTTGTCCGGCTTGCCCTCCCAAGCCGTATTTACGAGGTCCGTGGCTTCATTCGTGGAACTCCCGTGTTCGCCGTCATCGACCTTCGCGCTCCAAGGTCCCACCGCTAAGCCTGACGAGGCGAAGAGCGAGTCTACGACCTCAGGAACTGGGCCGCAGATATTTTCTGCTAAAACCTGTGTCGATCAAAAACAGGACATTGGGAGGGGGGAGGGGGGTCACAAGCATACCCAATTCTATTGACGCTCGCCAACAAAAAAATATTTGGGGCGACAGACGTGCCACAGCAACATCTATAGACCCCAGCGTACGATCCAGCAAACGTGAGTACAACGCATCCAGCGGAAGTATGCCCGACTGATCTACAAGACAGCACAGGTCGCAAGAAGCAAAACCAAAGAACAAGCGATCCACCAACAACGGCCGTAGATTATCGATGTCCTGGTCAAAATTGAAAGAAGCCCATGAGCACGCGCAACATCAGCAGCGACTACATAAAACTAAGCCGTAGTTTGTGGTGGGGTGGGCCCGAACGATTCGACAGTTTGGCACCCGCAACACCGCCACAAAATAGGCAGACCGATCACCTGCCAGAGCACGGAGAAGTCGTCTTCGTGCAGGCCGAGGTCCAGTCCAGGGGCCCGCCCCACGACCACGTAGTTGCTCGTGACCCCGTCGCTCTCTGCCCCGCCCACACGCGGAACCATGGGCCACCATGCCTGTTGGATCGAACGGGAGAATTGCCGCCGGGTAGACCAGAAAGAGGGGGGGGGGAGCACAAAACAGGAGAAAAAAGGAGAAGTACGGCCAAACAACAGCGAGACAGGAAACGATTCAGGACGTAGTCGAATCGGGGAAAGCTCGAGAAGAATCTCATCTCTCTGGAAAAACCCTATATGGCTGGGTTTCTTTTTCTTGTGCCGTCTCTTTCCGAACGGAACGAGACTTGGGGCCCGCGTGTAGCCTACCAACTTGACTTCGAATACCTCCTGTGCGAGTAGACCCGAGCCTTGCCCCGCGCAGTCGTCCAGGGGCGAATTCTCAACGAGGACGACCACCTATCCCCGTCATATACCTTGGGGACGGCGATTGAGACTACACTGCGAACTTGACTTACCGCCTTGAAGAGATGGTGATACACGACACCAACCAAACGCCGACCTCTACAGAAAGAGACTCCAAGATAGAAGCGCCCCCGTCAAACCGCGACGACGTTAACTTACCTCCACCGTCACCTCCCCCAGCGAGACACCATCCTCCCGCAACAGCTTCGACCCAGCTCGTGGAGGAACGACGGTGCTACCGAGGCTTGGGCTAGGGGCGACAGCTGCCGCCGGCGAGGGCCGATAACAGCGGGAAGAGCGGATGCCCAACCCGTCGAGATTGATCGACCAGACTTGGCAGGTCTCGGGTTTGGCGGAGGGGACGTCGCCCATTCGTCGAGTCCCGTAGCTGTTAGAGCGGCCGGTCAGGCGAGAATGGTTTGACGCGTGGTGGGCGATTCTGTGTTCGATTGTTTGTGAGCTGGGTCGAGTCCAGGAGATGCTATCGGGGCGTTGTTTTCCTCTTGCGGGAAATGTCAAACTCACAGGAAAAACGGGTACGACCTGGGTATCGTATCCAGGTGTCCTGGACGAACACTATTATTGAAGGTGTACGGCCAGGATAAAAAGCCAATTGACGGATTCCTTGGCTATCGGGCGCTTCATTGCACTTGCGAACTTTTCAGTTGGGTGCACGCGAGACCAAGTGTGTGGGGTAACCGCGGGACCGTGTGGCAGAGTCCCTCGGGCGGCAGTAGTCATTCATGGATACAGCACTGGCGTTGCAGATACGAAATATCTCCTGTCCTGGGACTATATGCATTGGATATCTTAGGATGCTACGTCAATACCACGAACACCATCGCCACTCTTCAGTACCCCCCCCCAACAAAGGTACTGCCGCAACATGTTAACACCAACATCAGCAACCAACACCCTGGTTCCACTACCTGTTGGTGGCGGTCAAGGTTTTCGCGTCGAAGGTCACCCACGATGCTCCGGCGTGGCCCGCGGGGAGCCTAACCTCTGCATCGAAAGCTTTGATGCGGAGGCTTTTCTTGTTCAGCGCCGGCGGGGGTGGAGGTAGCACCCTTTCGTCGACAGAGTGTTCATCCTGAGAGGGGCCAAAACAATAAGGCAGCCAAGGTTGATCAGGTAGACCACAGCAGTGGGCTTCGCATGACCGGAACTTTCAACACATACACAACAACAAGCGAGAAGACTTTGACACCCAGGCATAGTGCTTCGTCACTCATTCCGATCAACACTGTCTACAGAGTAGGATACTTCGGATATAAGAGGACACATTCCGAGAGACAAAAGTCGGACCTCGGGTTGCGGGATGAGCAGCCAAGGACACCACGGGCCGTCGCCAAGCACTCCATTCATCAGGTAGTCCAATGTTTCCAGCCAGGTCTGGTTGAGGTAGTTTACCGTGCACGACTGCAGCACGAGATTCACGCTGATAGGGAACTCTACGCCTTGCCGCGAGTCCTGCAGCAGCGCGAGAGAAAATCAGACACACAATGAAAACAGATACCGGCATCGTCGAGCGGATGAGGCAGCCAGGCAACGCGACAAATGATGGAATACACAGGGAACAGGCAGCGGCCGAACTGCAGCACGAAAGAAGACAAAAAAGAGACAACACACGGCAATGTCGCTCAAGTTGCTCCCCCTGCAGGGAGTTAAATTCACCTTCCCCCCGGATTGTCTTGACAAAAAGAGGACACCTACACCCAGCTATCAAAAACTCTCCAAGAAACATTTGCAAGGGTACCAATATCGTTGTTGGAACACTGTTCGTTTCGGAGGAAAACTTTTGCGTGAACCCCTCACATGACCCCGAGCAGGGAGGCGGGTGATTGACAGCTTCAGCCATACCGGACGAACACATTTGGTACATCAGAAACTAGAAGGGGGTGGGGGGTGAGTTTGCACCTGTACGATGTCAAGCCGCACTTCCTGGGGGGGCAAGGTGGAGTCAAGGCTGGGACAGACCAGAGAGCGCCATCGCGAGTGCTTTGTGCCGAGGTCCGTGAGAGAAGCGAAACCCAGCGCTATGCTATAGTTCGAGACCGATCCTTCCGAGTGGTGGCACTTGAAGATCTCCGCCTGGACGATGGGAGCAGGGCAAGGAGGGTGAGAATAATCCAAATCGGTCGAGATGTGAGGATCACAGCTTCGCGAGGCGCCCCAAAACGTGGGTCCGCTTTCTCCCGACAGGCTCGACGACTTCCACTGTTTCCCACCGGCTGTGTATACCGCTCGCTTGATCTATGATACAGCAGTCGTGGTCCCTGTGTATAAAAGGTCGCTGAAATAAGGCCGGACGCCCTGTACAAGGCCGGTGAAATCGCGAAAAAAAAAATGGAATAGCGTAACTAAAGTTGCCTCAAGGGTACTTGCTGCTCACCGAAGACTCTCGTGCCTCCAGCAAAAGAAGCCTCCTTCCGTGCACTTCCTTGTTGAGCCACAGCGACACTCGTTTCACCTTGACGATGATGGCGCCGCCTCGTCTGCCCTTCTCGGCCGAGACGGGTTCGGCCGCCCCCGTCCTCTCGGCCTGTGTCTCCGCTTGAACACCCGCCTGTTCGGGTATCGAACGCCCGCTGGCGGACGACGGAAGATCCTCGGATCGTGGTGAAGGCACCCCCCTTCCACTCCTCTCGTCGACCTTTCCCTGCTCTGCGTTGGGACGCCCGCCCCCTCCCCCCCCATCCCCGATTTCCGGCGCCGTACCGCCGCCACCACTGCTGCCGTACATGCCGTACGTGAACACCGAGAGCGCTCCCACGGTCTCCGGGTTCCAGTTCCCCCACACTCCTCCCAGGACAACTACCGTCCTCGACCCCGATCGGTCGCCACCAGTGCGTTTCTCACCAAGCGTGTGGTAGGTTATCCTCAACGCCTCTTCCTCCGGCAGTAACAGCGGCAACGGCGCCGAAGAAGAAGGGTCTTGAGACGATAGGAGGTACGAAAACCCGGCGTCCCCGGTCAGTCGCTGGTGCATGTCCTTGACTCGGAAAGACGATACCGAGAGACAAAACTTACAAGGGCTGTCGCCATTACCGTCTGCGTCTGCCCCAGGCGGATCGCCCTTTGACGGCGGCTCGACCGCTGGGTTTCGGTCTTCCTGCTTGGTGGCGTCAGCATCAACAACGGCGCGACCACCGCTACCATGGCCGTCGCCGCCGACGGCGTCTCGGTAGTCGACTCCCAGGCCACAGATTTCGAGCAGGACAAGCGCGCCTTCGGCAACCGTTTCGCTTGCTCCAACTGGCGGCGGCGCTGCTAGTCGCACACCAGGCAAACCAGACTCGCCTTCCTCACCGCCGCCAGAAACGGCGGCGTGACCCGCACCCCCCTTCGGCGGAGGGGGCCGCCCGACGCGATTCTCACTTTCTGGACCTCCTCTGACGATGTGGCGAGCCGGCGAAGAAGTCGTGGCGGATCGCTCGGGAGCACCGTTCCCGCTCGCGTGGTTCCCACCGCTGGTGCTGGTGCTGTTGTCGTCGTGCACGAGCGAAACACAGATCACAGGGGCGGAGACCCGCACTTCAAGAACCAGCCCGGCGGCCGGGGTCTGCGGCTGTTCGAGGTAACCCTCCTCGACACGATCGCCCCCGTCCCCTGCGTCTCCCACCACTCTCTCGGACCCTTCCACCCCCTGTCCCCCACCACACCCGCTGTCCTCAACAGGCATTGGGGAGTGGATGCAGCCAGAACCTGAGCTAGATCGCCTCCTGTGGTGCCCGCGCGAGAGGCTGTTTCTTCGCGGGGTTAGGGAGAAAACGCCAGCCCTGCCTACCCCCGCTCCTCCCACGCCATCGTCCGAGTCCTCCAGGGGGCCCTCGCCCGGAACTTCGGTTACCGGCTCTAATTCTGAAGCCAGGACCGCTTTGATTAGGCGGGGCCGCTGCGTTCCTCCAGGAGAACCAGGACTCAAGCTCGGAGTAGCCGAAGCAGGGAATAGTCGAGAGGCAACAGCCCCTCTTGTTCCTGTTTGCGGCACGCGGGTCATTCGTTCTTCCTCCCTAGAGCTCGACACCAGGGGGCTTTCGGGGGGGAATCGATCCGCACCAGCCGCCGTTGTTGGACGTTCAAGTTCTGACATGTCACGGTTCACGCGACGCGGTAAGGAGGGGGGGGGATAATGGCTCGAGAGCGGAAAGAGGGAGGAGAACATTCGGGCGATTGCTGGGGATTCCGCAGGCCTGACGTTAGAGGAGTTATTCTATACTGTCTGGGCGCTTGTTCAGCTTGTTCTTACAGCTGGCGTCTAGAAAAAGCGAGGGTACAGTTGCTTGCGCAGCCTACCGCACGCTTACATGCTCCCGGGACGAAGGATTCGAGTAAGAGAGCCACTCAGGCACATTTACTTCGCTTGCACGACAACAGCAGTGGTCTAACTTCCACATGAAAAAAAATAGCACACAGTTTCCTACGGTGCCAAAGCGTGCAGCTGGCATCACGATAACAACCACCAACACCGCAAAAAACACTTCTACGCAAAACACACCGTTCTTGAGCAGCCTGGTGAGCAGGAGGTACGCCGAGCTGTGCACGTTGCAGCTAAGGCGGGGGAGGTTGGCCTCTACGCGAACCCCGATGAGACCGTTGGTTGACAGGTCAGTCGCAGTTCGGACCTGCTCCGAAACAAAAAGAAACGAAACAGTTTGCAGAACAGCCACAAACTATACGTCGGCGCCACCCACATCGACGCCGGGACCAGCAGCACAGGTATTGTGCACAAGGGGTCTTCCATGCGGGAGGTGTTGTGAAGGGAAGAGAGTCGAGTCGGGAGTATTCGGCGAAGCGGAAATAGACGGGCCCGGGAAAACCCTAAGGGCCCCCTTCTTTCGTGCGGGGGCCCTCCACGGAAAAGGAGCACCCATCCACGACTGAAATTTTCTGAAACACAACGGGCAACGAGCAACTTTTCGCGCTGCCGGGGAAGAGCTTTCGCGAAACGTATGATGTTTTGCGCGGAGCGGTGTCGCTACTGCTGGGAAGCTTGTGGCCGTACCACTTACCTTCACGTTTAGGTCGACCTCCTCCACGATGGCGGTGTCATTGGAAAGGGCCGCCTTGTTAGCGCTTGGCCCGTTGTCCGAAGACGCCGGTCCTAAGAACGAAGAAGCGTCGGCCACTACCACCTTCGACCAAGCAGACACGACAAGCGTTTGAGCTGAGCAGGAGAAGACTTTGTGGTCATGGTGAACATCATGACGACCGTTTTTCGGGCACGAGCTGCGGCAGAGAGGTGCTTGATACAGGTAAGACGGCAAAGTTCGGGCATGAATAGCAAAAAAAGGGTTATGTGGACCCAACAGCAGCTGTGGACCCAACAACGTGCGAGGATTTCGCGAAGCGTGCGAGACATCGTGCAACGGCAAGGAGCCAAACCATCTATCGATTTTTTTCTTTTTCCGCACACGCATGCTACCGCGTAACTAGGAGCGAAACCTCCAACACGGGGTGCTGCTACAGAAAAGGGGCCGGGTGTAGACGGTTATCACCTCCGGCCGCTGTCTCATCATCTCATCATCCACGACCAAAACTACACTCAACGGGTTCACCTACCCCAACCAATGTCGTTCATTCTCACCTGCACCCCCGTAACGTCCAGCAGCCAGTCGTCCTGAGCTATATCTTCCGGTACGTTCGCCACCAGGGGATCAGCCGTCAACAACCCCGGTGCAGACACGCCTTCTACCGAAGACGACGGTACATCGACGTCAAACACGGGGGGGGATGCCAGTGGGCTGTCCCCGGGGGGGGTCTCAACAGCGTCTCTCCTCAGCGCGTCATCTCTCCGGAAGGCGATATGCCCAAGGTCGAGCACGAGAAGGCTGGATCGAGAACGGTCCTGGAACAAATTATCCGCCGAGTGTCAATGGGAACGAAAGCGACGCGTGAGATGCAACGCGACGAGTGCACAAAAAAAAATAGGAATGTTCACAAACCCTATCCGCGGTGTACGACAACCAACCACAGACCACAGCGCATCAAATTCGCCGCTGTTAACAATTACATTGCCACTGGTACTTCTTAACCGCAATCAAAGATCGGATGAAAATGAATTTCGTCCCGTCGTCTATTGCTACCGGGGCTGTGCGGACATGTTTCCCGACACCCCTGGCAGGCAAATACACAAATAAAATCGCCAGTGAGGGAATCAAGCTCAGTCGGCGGGGCGGGCGGGATTCTCGACACCCAGGAAATACGAACAACTGAAAACGACATAAAGGCCAAAATTTTTCGTGACGGAAATAGCGCTCGACAACCACTTCAGCACCAAGGGAGGGGGGGCTTTTTTCAAGGACAAAGAAACCAAAGAAGGTGACACGCAACAAGTTACCTCCAGGTCTTCCGGGAGCACCACAAGTGGGGCATGGATATCCGCCGTCACCTTTGGTGGTTTAAGGATTCAAGAACAGGCGCACGAATAACGCACGTCGTCACATGGTTTTCTCGGTATTCTGCCGGCTGATGTGGCCATGGCCTCCCACGTGTCAGTGTTAACGTACAAAAAGTATGACGATTTCCACGGCACGGGGGGGGGGGGGGTCTGCGATAGGAACATGCACATGCATCAAGACCACCACATGTATTCCGGTCCGTGGTATCCGCATGGTTATTGTGTGGGATTTCCAAGCTTTCCCAGCCGTGGTCGCCGGTTCTCCGAAAAGCGACGGCCAATCTAAACAGAGGGATCAACTGACCACGATGATACAACCTTGACTCGTGACCTTACATAGTAGGACAGGGGCAATTCTTGCTGAAGAATTGCTTGCGGTACCATATACCAAAAACCTCCGGTTCTCCTGCAAAGAACAACGGATACGCGACGGGCCGCCATCCCGCGCTTCGATGTGAATCTAACTGCGACTGTTATCGCGTTGCTGTTTTGACGGTCAAGGTGGAACATAGGTCTCCCACCTCTACCCTCTTGCTGCTGCCCAGGGCGTGCAAAAAGGACGATCTCGTTGCCCTTTTGAGCCGACTGATCTTGGACTGCGCAGCCGACGCCAGCAGGCGCATGTCCCTCGTCGCAAACATGCTCGTCACCTACGGACGGCCACCAACAGGAGCGAGAGGGTGAACACATTGCAAGCAGAAATGTCGGTGCGGATTGTTTGGGTACGGACTGCTCAACACCAACTCATGCTCAACACCAACTCATGGTGTGGAGAATGGGATAAGATACAAACAGCGAACGGCCGTGGTAGACGTCGCCAGGAAACCTGCAGGTTCCCATTGGTAGGACACGCCCACAGAGCAACACCGTTTAGTAAACAAGGAGCGAAAAATCACAGAAAAGCACTTACAAAAAAACAATACCAAGGAGCACTACCTGCACAACATACGCACGCGACTATCAAGGCCGAAGACGGAAACGACAACGGCACGACGGTCGAAAACAAGTGCGGCGCAACCGTTACGCAGAATCGATGTGGCGAGGAAAACACACGGGACTGTCAGGTTCATTACCTGGTCCACACAAGCGCGATTATGCATGAGCTGATGCGGCGCAAACACGACCTTCACGGTCACCACCGCCCCGCTGCCGCCGCCGCCCCAACGACCGGCGGAATCGGCTTGGTCGGCCGACACCCCACCGCCGTCCCCCCCCGACGAAGAAACGGCTCGCGGAGACACCAGGGGAGAAGCAATCGCTTTTCGGGCTGGGCCAGCGGGGGTGCTACTGCTGCTGCTTCTGCCACCGCCTTTGTTCGTGGCGGCGTTGTCCGGGTCTTCACCCTGATACTCCACGATGATCCCGCCGCTCTTCCACACCTGGAAGTCGCCTGCAACACCCACCGGGCATCGAAATTAGAGCAGAACAGCAGAAGGTCAGAGCTAAGAACAACTATGTTACGGGCGGACGTGGGGTGCGCAGCAGCAGCTTTGAGCGTGACGGGCAGCTCGAAGGCGTGGCTCATGTCCTTTGTAGATCATTTTCTTTTCTTCGTTTTCACTATAAATCAGCGCTTACAGCGTTTCCGTCGTCACAAAGAAAGGTACCTCTCCTTCCGGCCCCATACCCACCCCTCCTGCGGTGCTGGCCTTCTACTACTAATGTGAGAAGAGTATAGCACTCTCTTCCCCTCAAAGTGTACCCACAAGCTTGCGCTTTCCACAACCAGGAACGAATGCAAGAGAAAAACTCACTTCGCAAGAAAAATCTCGCGTCCGCCGGGATTCGAACCCCTGACCCTGGGTGCCAGGAGGCTGCGAGGATACCAGCTATTTATTGACTGGGGCGACCTGCGTCGAGAAAAACGACCCCGTCCCTTCCGCAGGTTGGTCCCACCAGCCCTGCTGCGTGCCCCCCTAAAGCCGGTGTGTCTCGGTTCGTTGTTGCATTGCTATCAATAATGGCCACATATTCTTTCTTTCCTCCTGGCAAGCAATTCTTATTCTTGTGTTGTGTGTGGGGAAAGTACGTAGCGCGTCAAGCGACACAGATTCTTCTCTCCTCTCGCATACTCCCGCACCTATCTGGATCATGCCCGCATCGCCACCCCCATCCGCCTTGGGCGGTCTCCACGTCCTCCTTGTCAACAGTGTTGTTGCGCGGGCTCCCTGGTTATTGGGAGATTCAGGGTACAGGCCGCAGCAGCAGAAAGGGATTAAAACGTCATGAGAGGGGCTGTAAAAAAAAAATCTAATGGACATGCCTGTGCCCAAGCAGTAGCCTAGGGGGTTGAACGCTGTGAGACTCGTGTCGCCCGAGTCAACCCCCAAAACTGCCTTTAGACACTGGCAAAGCAGCTCCGTACTGTTCTTGCTTGATTCGCAACATCCACTTCTACTGAGGGGAGAAAGGAGACGTGACAAAACACGAAAGAGTTGAAAAGGCATTACCAGTCAAAAATAAGCAACCGCCAGGTTCCGGTCCCTCACGGACACCGCCTAACGCTTCGTCAGCTCTAGCCCTCGGTGTGGTGTTTACTCTTAGCGTACCTGGCCAGCTAGGCCGAATGCCTGGAGTGCGCCGAGCCCCAGCTCGAGTCTCCAGTCGGTCTTCTGCTTCTGCAGATCGGCCTTGAGGTCGAAGATTATCCGCAGGCATGGCTGGCCGGCATTCACGAGGGTAAGCGCCCCCTCGTTCAGAGACGCCTCCACATCGAACAACACCCTGAAGCGCGGTCGAGACAGAGAAATCACCGCATGTTGCTCGGACATCAGTAGAAAGACAGGTACGTCAGGTAACACCATGAATGTGTTCCCCTTTTATCCTGGAATCCTGTCTGTGGATAGAGATGAACTTGTACACTGTTGTTCAAGTAAATGTGTCATGGATAAACAAATGGCAAGGGCGGCAGATATCGTACGTATACCGCACAACACCCCCCCATAAGATGACACACACCACCCACACATAACACATCACCCGGCGGTTAATACATTACGGGTCACCATGAGCCAAAACACACAACTACTCTCAGATCAAGGCGACTCAAAATACCATCCCCCAACACAATCAACACACCCGGAAATACTCGCACTAAACCCAAAATGTTTATCATCGGGTTGTGCTCTCTTGTGTCACATACGGTACTCGAAGAAATCCTCCCCCCCCGCTGACGTCCTCAAACGCCTCCACATCGAACAAAAAGCGTGAACCGCATACAAGAGCGATTATGCCTTGCGGTGCGGTTCGAAACAGAACAGATTTCAAACGGAGCCATGTCCCACCCCCCAGCGACAACCATCTTGGGGACCCCGAGAAATCATCAATGGGCGTGGTGCGATGTCCGGGCGCGCCTGCTTTTACCGTTGTAACGGGCGCTCTCGGTGCATTGCCATTCAACATACAGGCAAGATTCGTAAAAGCCTCATCACCATGGCAACAAACATCAATTCTTTGGCAACAAAGCTCCGTTCCTCGGTCTACTTCTCAGCCTGATAGCCGACTTCTCAGCCTCTTGACAAAAACAATCAACGGATCACGAAAGACACCATCCCGTTGTTTCCACAAGAAGCAGCCGTTGAATCGAAACGACGCAACGAATGCCCGTTCCCCAAATAAGAACATAGCATCCGCAAAATGAAAAAAAAAAAAATGTGTTAATGTTTGCGCGTTGGTAGATTCTTGAGAAAAGCCTACGTAGGTTATCCAGTGTGTCTAAGAAATTTTGGTCAACTACCGTACGTTGCCCAATGTATCACACCCCCTTGACCGACTTTCAAAGCTCGATTACTCCACGACAAAGAGGATGCGGAAGTCAAAGGATACGCTTTGGAAAGCTCTCGACGAGACAGTTCCAACGTCGTCATTGTTTCGGCACCGTCACTGCTTTTCCCGCCGAGCAATCGAGCTTCGAACATCGGTCCAGGGCGTGTGATATCTTATGCAACCTGCGGTGGCTCTCCACCCACGATATCTGTACAACCGTGAAGAGTAGCCTCTACTTCATCAGGTGAAATTGCCTCACGCATCCCTCACCTGTTCTTTTGCTCGTCCCCTCCATCGTTGTCCCCCTCTGCGTCCCCCCCAGGAGAAGAAAACGCCCGGAGGAACTCAGCCTGCGCAGCGGCGTCCTCGCGCTGCGTTGCCCCTCCCGCTGCCGGCCCAGTCTCCTCAGCTATCGTAGCACCATCACCGTCACCACCACCACCACCGCCAGTAGCAGCTGCGGCGGGAACCGGATCTCTTCTGAGCAGCCACTGCCCCCAGGTCTGCCTCGGCACCGCTGGCTCGCCGGCAGCCGCAACCGCCAAGTTCGCAGACGACGACGATGACAATAGCGAAGCTTCCTGCTCCTCCTGTTCCTCCAGCTCGGCGATGGCCTTGACCCGAAAAGCCACGATCTCGTTGGCGGTAAGCTGCTCGTCCAGGCGGGTGAACTGCTGGTACTCCTCAGGTGTAGCCTGCGTTGTATTGTCGGCAAAACAAGACAAAAATGGCACACCCGTTAGGTCGAGGGAAGGGTATGCTCTCATTTTCGTTTGGACGCACTACTCTGTCGGGCTAACTACGAAAAGGTTGGTCCGAGACTGGACTCGTCCGCATGTACCGGTTGGACTCTCCTGGAGACTTTTCCGGCAAAAAAGTACATGAGCAAATCGAAACCGGGTGCGCGTTGATCGAAGGAAAACCGACGCCGACGTGGAGAGGTAGCAAACATGCGTGGGAACTCCGGCAGATCGCAGCACAGAAGTCTCGTTGAATGCAAATTCCAAACGACACGTGAGCCAACTCGTCCAGCTTGCGGCGGCGTGCCACCGCAGCTGCAGACGTTCGTGACTTGTAAGACGCTTTTTGTTGGAGGGTGGCACCAGCTGTAGGAAAAGCGTAGGGTATAAACGTTCCTATAGCATACCGGATTGTCCACTAGAGTCGGCAATAAAAGCGCCATCCGAAACAATCTCCGCGCGTGCAAGAAAATGTTGATTGCCAGTACAGCAGACTGGAAACTATGTCCCGAGACCATTTCCCTCAGGCGAGGATGGGAGCTAGCAATCGGACCGGGTCTTGACCTCTTTTCTGCTCACAGCTGTGATTGTTTGCGGGATGGACCACAGCATCGTAACGAAATGGGACCTACCTCTGCGACTAGAAGTCTCAAACATCGGTAGCATTCCCACGGAAAAAATGATTAGCCAACGGCTAGAAGTCAGTCGCACATGGTGAACAAAACGGTATAGGCTAGCTCTGAGGCCACAACGTTCAAACATAGGTTGCAGCCCTGCTGGACAGAACAAAAACTTGCACCTACGGCTAACGCAGTCGCACGTCGGTAGTAGTCCCTCCGGGAGGTTGGCGCTGTGTCCCACGACGACTCACGGCCACAAATCGCAAGCCTTCATCATCACCTGGTGGCGAGCTCGGGCGGTGTAGAGGTGGACGTAGAGCTTCCTCAGGGAGAGCAGCCGCGCAACGTCCGGCCAGCCGAGCTTCGCCCGCTTTTCCGCCTTCCCCGGCCTGGACACGCACTTCACTAGGTACACCCACCTGTCAATATAAAAAGGGCGTTGTTCCGAGGTACGTCGTGGTGTGCCATATTCTGGTTCAGTATGCCTTGCCGATGAAAACCTGCCGTTGATCATGGTCTGGTTTCCTATGTGATGACAGATCTACGGTACGATGCGCTGAACCCTTTAGGTCACGCACGATCAAGCGCGCCCCTCGTCCTTCTCGTCAGAGTGGCGCAAGGCGCTAAAATAGCGGTGTTGGGTGTCTGGCCAAGGACAAAAACTTTCAGAGAAGACAGCGGTGCAAACCGTGTCTGTTGGTCTCTCCGTGACTCTCTCGACATGGCCAGGCCAAGACACCTTCTCGACTACATATCGTACAAGCAAGGCCGGAATTGCAACGCAAGGTTCGCACGAGCGAAACGACCAGGACTCTGGCGCCCACGTCAACCGGGTATTCATCCACCCGTCTTGAAAGTATTGGAGGGTGGGGGCTCCCGATGCGCCCTGGATTTCAGCTCCGTAACCATGGAAAACAACACGAGGTTCGGGGAAACATGACGGATTCCACAGCTTCCTATATGGCCCTCTCTACTGTATGCTTTACATACCCTGGACCAATTTTCGAAGGATACTCTGCAGCAAACCAAGTGAGTACGCCGAAAATGGCGGCGATGGGACCGTCTCGTCGAGAGCTTTCCGACACGTGAGGGTTGATTGTAGTGTCCTCCTCGTCGTTGAGTAATAGGGCTTCGGAAGTCGGCACAGGGTGTGTGGTATCTCTCGCTGCCTACCAGTGTAGCGTACGGGTTAAGGTCTCAAATTGTCTGAGGTCTCGTTACAGGGTGATGTAGAGGGACACGCCTTGAGCCCCACGCCATACGCGAACGTCGAACGCACAACTTCGGGGCGACAACCTCGCCTCCCTTTTAGTCACACAGAAGAATCCCGGACGAAAAAATAGACTCAGCTCGCCTTTTGGCCCGTCTTTGGCGCACAGAACAACAGCCTCCGAAAACCTAAACTCACCACGCCTTCAGCCCCGCGCTCTACGCTCACGTCGATCACATGGCTTGGGAGCGACGAACACGCGTCCTTCGGAACCCGTGGACCCTTGGAATGCTACAACGCCCGTACGAAAAACCTATAGGCTCACCATGCCTTTGGCCCGTCCTTGGCACATAGAGCAACCCCCTACGAACAGCCTAGACTTACCATGCCTTTGGCCCATCCTTGATCTTGTGCTTCGGCCGATGCCGGTACAGGGCCTCCCACCTCTCCAGGTCTCGAAGAGTCGACCGCATCTTGTTGATGTTGGCGATCTGGGAGTTGTTGAGAACTAGTCCTACCTGCACCGCCACAATGAGTGTCAAGACGTGGCGAAAAAACGGGTGCAAGCGTATCGTCCACAAAAGAAGCACTATGGAAACAAAAAGTTGGTCAACTCGGTTGGACACGATGCGCCCACGTAGCCGGCATACGGGGTGCTTGCGAAACATGTACGCCCGGCGTGTTGCACGATGAAACCAAACTATACATACGTTTCTGTGTCGTATGAACGATTACTGCTGTAGCGTGTTTTCGGTTTCAGTGTGGACGGATCACAGAATGCAAGAATCGGGTGAGGCCTTCCCGACGGCTGGTTGTCCCGCCAACCATCCGTCTTGCTGTCATGTTTCTGACCATCGGCCTAGGGGCGCATCATGTGGATCCCCATCCGAAAGATATCAAGGATGGAGCGAAACGTGTTGAGAACCACGCCTATACGAGGGTGTGGTAGACAACACACGCACGAGCCCAGTCCCAGAAAAATGATCGATACACCACTTGAACCGATCTTTTGGGAGAAATGCTTGGCTCAGCATACACGTTCCAGGAAATGTTCACGCACAACTCTTCCGCCAACTAACGACATTGCTCATGGGGTCCAGCGTACCTGGGTAGTCGCTCCAACTCACCTCGTTGAAAAACGCCTGTATCTTGTACTTCGAACTCCCGCCCACGCCTCCACCGTCACCGCCGCCTTCCCTCTGCACTCTCAGCCGGAAATCGGGCGACGCCGGGATAACGACGTACGAGTGTCTGTCTTCCCCCCCGGCCAACGATGTCCGGAACATGCTTTCCAGGTCCTCGCCCGTTAACCCCGACGCCAGGAACGATCGATCCCGACCAGCCGCACCACTACCACCACCTGAAGTCGGGGGAACCTCTCCGCCGTGCTCTTCGTCATTGCCAGGTTGCGGCAAGGACGGTGACAACGATGACGGAGGAAGCGCCGAACCGGAACGCGGCGGGACTTCTGCCGCATCGCTGCCGGTGGCGGCGACAGCGGCAGATGAAGAGGCTGCAGGGTGACCGGGTGGGCGGGAGGGCCGGGAGAGCTCCTCGTCGCAGTACACCGCCAGGCTGTCCACGGACACCAGCTTGTACACGAAGCGCCCCCCGCTGGTCCATCAAAAAAGAAACAGCCGGGGGAAAATTACTGAACAGAAGAAACAAGTATCAACACCCACGACGCCATGGATTCCAGAAGATGTCACCCTTCATCCTCCCGGCAGCCGGGTAACTTGCTCCACAGCAGCGACAGTGGTGCCAGGGTGAAGCGCCGACTGACGCGCCCGTCTCTTGTTGCCATACCTTGCGGTTCCCCCCCCTACTGCCTTTGGTGCCATCTCCATTCCCCCGGGTCAAATGCCGTAGGTTTCATATGGACCGATTTTCAAAGCTCCAATACTCCACGGAGGACACCAAGATCCATCATCCATTGTGGGAATGCTCTCTCGACGCGACGGTTCTAACGCCGCCATTTTCGGCACCGTCGCTGTTCTGGCTGCAGAGTAGTCGAGCATCGGGAATGGGCCCAATGGGTGTGGGATCTACGTATGCAACCGACGGTAGATGCACACGATTTTGGCTGCCATCGGCAACGTGAAACCAACACCAAAAGACACAAGCACAAATTATTGAAAACAGCACCGCATACGACGAAATACGATAATTTCCCCAACACGCAGTAGGTGGTAATACAACTTAACGGGTGAACATGAGCCCAAAACTTAAAAACTAGTTCCACCATCAAGCAACAGGGGGATAGATAGAAGTATATAGATACCACATCATTAAATATCACACCCGTGTTTGTTTGTTTTTAGATTCCAAAACGTTTGATATCACCCGCAGGTGTTTGTTTGCTTGTGTCGTACTACGTACGGAGTACGTGGAAACAACAAAAATGGCAACCAGCGACGACACCGAAAACGTCGAGGAAGACTGACAGAGGCAGGCAGCAATCGCACGAAATCGAAGCGCGGTGGCGCACGCCACTTCTCGCCCTACCTTTCTCCCGCCTTGCCCCCCCCAGCCCCCTGGACGTAGGTGGGGGTCCACTGCTCGTCAACGGTCTGCACCACGAGCTGTCGCAACGTGATGCCCGCAGATAGGGGCCGCGGCACGGTACCCGTCCCGTCGTCAAGGCTGAGCTCATCCTCGTACCGGATATGGATATTTTTCACGGTAATCTAATGATTCCGGAACAGGGTCCGAGAAGAAATGGGGACGGGTGAGGGTGCGGCGAGGGAGGGGGGGAGGGTTGGCTCGAGGGCAATGCTGCAGAAGGTGTTGCCGGTGGTCTTGAGGTGCGATGGATTTTCGAATAGCAAACGCATCTGCTGCTAAGATGCTTCGATCGCCTAGGCTATGCTTTCCGGAGAGCGCGCGAACACACGTTTCCAGGGGTGCGCTGCAGCAGTTGGAAAGGGCTCCTTGTGTCAGGTTCTACGTGGGTCGATGCGGGAAGAGCAAAAACATCAACAGTAATCTGGGTAGCATCATTTCGCCAGCATCGCGCAGACTGAGTTCGTCCCCATCCTAGACGTCGAACGCCTTTAATATTTTCGAAATTTCAATGTTTCGGCTAGAGGAAGGGCTATACTTCTGTAGACGGGAATACAGAACATATCTCCGCTAATAAAGACCTAGAACAAAGCACGTCGGGCTCGAAACTATCAACACCTGAGAGTTAGATCAGGTGCTGAGGTAGGTACGAATCCTACACCGAGTTGGGATACCCTCATCAGAACGTGAGCTTCAAGAGGTCGTTCATGACAAGGAACGTCAATGAATTCAAGCGTGTCCCCAATTCTCTAGCCGATGGGAATGTTGCACATGTTTACGTACCCGGAGGTGGATGCTACCGTAGGTTGTGTAAGATACCATACCCCTTGAACCGATTCCCACAGTCCAAACATTCTGCAGCAAAAACACTGCGGGTGCCGAAAATGGTGGCCTTGGAACCTTCTCGACGAGAGATTTCCAAAACGAGCCATTAACTTGGGCATGCCCTTCGTCGCGGAGTTACCGAGCTGCGAAAATCGGTACATGGGGTGTGCTATCTTACGCAATCAACGGTGCTAGCTCCTTTCCGGGATGTAGGCGTTCGGCAGTCGGTGACGGTGCCAGGGTTCGACCCGGAAACATGACAGAAGGCACTCATCACCTGGACGTTGTCGAGAATTTTGGCCAGGAGCCTGCCCCACCTCCCCTTCCCGCCGCCTTCGTCCTTGGAAACCCCTTCCGCAAGCGACGCCTTCCTCTCCAGGTGCTTCCTGAGCCGCCACTCCACTCCTACGTAAGGGTTGTTCGATATTCACGAATCGCAACTCATACGTCGTTAAGAACAAATGGTTTCCTTCGGCTAGATGTTGGAATATATTTTTATTCTCTTCCCTATGTACGCTGACTGCCGATCATCGCGAAATGCCCGAATATTTTCGGCCTAGAATCAAGACAAACGTTCAACATGGGAATGACGCCTGATCTCAGGCAACAGATCTGCACCTACAACCCGACACCATACCGTACAAGTAGGTTGCTTAAGATAACGCACCTCCCCCCGAGACCGATCTATAAAACTCGATTACTCCATTGCGAACAGGACGCCAATCTCAAATGATACGCTTTCGGAATGCTCTCAACGAGACGGTTCTAACACCGTCACTGTTTTCTCTGCAGATAAATCGAGTTTTGAAAATCGCTCCCGGGGGCGTGGTACCTTCTGCAACCGACGGTAAGCGAATCATTCCGGCGGCGGGAAGATATCGCCGGCTAGGACGACCCCCGCCCAACCACCATAAATATCAGCCTTATCCGCTTATTCTTTCTCTAAACCTTCGCCACCTCAAGTCGTTTCAGAGTGTTACCGCTGGGACAACGATCCTGTCATCACCTCTAGACTTCTGGTAGCGCGCCCGACGTTGCCTCTCCATGTCGTCCATGCTCCACGTGTCCAAGGGAGTGACAAGGATGTAAACGTCTTCCAGAGTCGCGCACACCTGTAGACATTTGTAGCAGAATTTGGAGACCATGTCTAAGCCCATCGTCCTACGTGTTTGTCTCAGAAGCGCGCGGGATCAAATTGATGCACCATATGGCAGCATGAAAGCTAGGGTCTGAATGCGACGTTTCGAGGAAGGCCCGTGCACCAGAACCGCAGCCAGCCTCCATTGTGAATGGCCCTAAAAAGTGAGTGAACGCTCTCGTGACGCAAAAAGGTGGTAACTCGTGAGTGGCACACCTGCAGGCCCGCTAGGGCAAGCACAACGCACCATCAAAGCCAAAGAGGACACGATGAAAACAACCAGCGTGTGCGTGTGTGCCACCCCATTCATTCTGGACGTCGATGTTTACACCTTCCGGTCTACAATTTTAGGACTCGCCAATCGGAGCCACAAAGGAGCAAGGTTACGCACAGGCTGTTCCTTTTTTCACATATTGACACATTGCAATATTTATAGAGGGAAAAATAGGGTCTAGCGTATCTGCTCTTAACGTTCAAAATGTATTGTCAGAAACGGCTACACCGCCAACGAACATCCGCTGCTGTCCCTAGACATACAAGCAACATGCCCTCGCTCTGGAGCTCCGTTCGAGCGACGAACTTTTCAAGCCACGCACCGGCTTGGACCCCAGCTTGTTCCAAGGCACGCTGAGCTGAAACAGCCCAACGTGTCCCCATTTGACTTCGACAGGGATGTCTAGCCCCTCCGAGAGCGCTTCAGGGACGAGCTGCAGGCCCTTGAGCAGGATCTGCAGGCGGTTGTGATCCAAACGAAACGTGGGTGTGAAACTACAGCTGCAGCAAGGAAGCTTGTGAACTCACTGCGAAGGTAGAAGGTTAACAGCGGAAACAAAACACCCACCCGCCCTCTCTCTCTCCACGGGAGCGTCGTCCTCTCCCAACTTCTGATACCTCCATGCCTGTAACCACGCAGGTTCTCCAGCGCGAGATAAAACGACCAAGCGCCCCAACAACCACGTGATGAACGAAACGTTGCTTCAATATGGAGGGCATCCCCAATTGTTCGTGGCCCCCCTGTAGTTGGCAGGAACGGTGCTTCGTCTTGATTGATAGGCGCGGCCTACGGGAAATCACTAGTCTTATGATGGTATTACAGTAGCACTGAATGGGTACCCGCCTCTGCCCAGCTCTTCAAGACCCCTTTGTTAGCCTCTTTCTTCTACGCCAAACGCTTCAGGCCCTCAAGGACAAGGAGAAACGAAACTACGTATACGACACAAGATAACTCACCCATATGAGATAACATCCCCCCCACAATGCCACGCCCAATACATGAAGCTATACATCTCAGATCAAGTAATAGGGCGCCATCAGATGCCACACCACACAATAACACACCCGATTACATAAACTAGATACCAAAACGTCGACACCGGGGTGTGTGTTTCTTGCGTTGTTTACAGTGCTTCAAGAGCAAGCTCATCGGTTGCCCAGGATGCCTCCCACCCACCCGCTCTCGCCCGACACCCTCTCCAACCCCTATTGGCTCTCCCACCTCTCCTTTCCATGCGGATAGCCGTAGGTTCTCCGCATCCAATCCTTTCACGTAGCGGCCGAACCTCTCCACCAGGAAGCGGGAAAGGTAACCTTCCAGCACCATGCCCTCAGCGACGCTGCGCAAGCGCCTTCCTCAGCAACAGAAATTTTCTTCGTACCGCCGACGTAGACGGCGTACTCACAAGGCAAGCCGCTTTCATTGAGGTTCCATGTGCGCTTAGGGGCTTCCAAGCAGAGCGGCCTGAGGTTTCCAGGCAGGAAGCGGCGAAATGAGCTCGTCTGTGGGGATGGGGTTCCGCGAGAGAGTCAGGCGCTTGCAAAAACCACAAGGTTGTGCCGCAGAACGAAAGAACGGGAACAAGACCTGGTGTCGTGTTCTACACGAAGAAAAAAACAGCCGAAAGGTCAATGCGAGCGAATGCTCATTTCTTTTCCACTACAGCAGTGCCGGTGTGCCGGCTACGATATAAGAGAAGGCGTGACAAGCCGAAATCAGCCGAAAACCTTCTATTATATCCGTGATTTCTCTTGTATCGATTCTCTGGTATATCGTAGCCGGCACTGTACGTACTTTCTTGAAAGATCCAGTTGAGAATTTATTCCACACACAAATGAGCCCTTCCACTAATTGAAGTCGATCGGTCAAGGTTTTTGGGTGTTGCTTCGATATATTGCGTCCCCAAAGCTGAAAACTAAAAAAATGCTTAAACAAACAAAAAAAAACATACCTATACTACCAACAAGGGGTGCTTCGCCGCCCCGCTCACGGGGGGCTGTTGGTGAGACAATTCCAGCCGGAAAATTCTGATCAAGGCGATATATTTTTTCTAGGGTCATGTACGGCACTGCTGTCATTGGTGCTGTCGGGGTCCGATTGCCTGCTCACCCACGGGTTTTATTTGAAGAAATGGCGCCCAGGAACTTACATTGACTTGTCGATGGGGAACAGAGCAATAATACAATTCAAGACTTGCCATGCTTAGGTTTTCGGGCGTTTCGGTACACTAAGCAAACTTGGGGTGCGCCGTGCTTTTGTACCCCCAGAACTGCTGTCGAGTAAAAAGCGGCGTGACTTCATGCTGCTGGTTGCAGTGGCTGTATACACGTCGCGTTCCAAGACGGCCGGAGCAGCATTATCCACAGCAGCGCTAACCATGCGATGAATACCAGCGTCACAGCAGTCTGGCACGACTAGCGACAGCTGCTGGTTCTTCATGCTCACCACCAAGGCAAGGTAGCAGTAGAGAGATCTACAATACCGTAGGGTACAGCAGTGACACTCTCCTGAGTACATGCAAGTGCAACCATTTGAATCAGAATCAGGCAGCGTTGCCAACATGGGAAAGCTCTTTCGTTGATACCCATGTTAAACTGTTAGCTAGTCAGTACCAGCATACCTCTGTCCACGTTGAGAACCGACGTTGCTCACCCAAGCTCGATCCCACGCACAAGCAGGCCTGGGTGTGCGTGCTACCATATCCCAAACCAAAGGGGGGGGTTCGCTGCATACGGCGCAATTTAGAACTTGGCAGGGTGTACGTGCCTCCTAACCAAGATTCTACGACACCCCCCGCTTTAACGCGTCTGGCACACCACACACAACATGAACACATGAACACACCACGCATGAACAGCTGCTGGCCTCGGTCGGGCTGTGAGCTAAGTGAGCCTGGTCTTACACATCATCTGTGTTTCATCATAGACCGGTGCTTACGCCGACTTGCCCGTGTTCCGTGGTCGTTGCCCTGTCAGGACGGCGCCCATCAGCTCTGTCTGTCTGTTTGACCCATATCTTCCTCACGTCCTCACCGCCATCTGCGACCCTGCCTTGCACGTCGTTCTTCAGGCGGATGGTCTCGGGCCGGCGCTGCGCCGCATCCACATCCATGGGCGCCCACGCCCATTAGCGCTGACTTGACTTCCCATGTACTCGTCATGGGAAGCAGCCGTGACAACGGCAGACAGATGTTGTTGTTGTAAAAAAATAATGGTATATATAGCAGCGTCGTGGACCTCTCTCTCGAACGTGGCGTGCTGGGCGGGCGGGCGGACCACCTTCGATATGGGGCCCACGACGCCTACACCCAAGTTGCTACGCCCATCGCGGGATCTGTCGTGTTCACGACTGCTTCCCACGCCGAGTATGGGGAGTCGGCGCAATAATAATGAACGTCGTGGGGAAGCGTCGCAGCGCAGCGTCGGTCCAAGACCATCTATCTGCCTGAAGAACGACGCGCAGGCAGGCGTGGTCGCAGCTGGCGGTGAGGAAGATATTAGTCCTGATCAGCGCTCTTGACAGGGCCTCAGCCACCGGACACGGGCAAGTCGGCGCCACAACTTCAAGGAACGCCCGCTAACACCCTGGAGCTCTCTGATGAGATTGCGAAGTCTCTGCGTTTTTTTTTGTTTGCACGCTATTCGCATATATATATATGCTCTGGACAACCCCCGGGCGCCCGTGAACGATCATCCGCCTCCGCCCAACCCCGATTTGTTCGATCTGAGGACCAAGGGAATCATTGGGTTCCTAAAACTGGGCTTACGGCAGGACAACGCTGACCACGCGGCGCTTCTGTTGCGCGTCAATACGATTGAGCTCGCGTTTATCAAGGCAGTCCAGAAGTTCCGCGCCTATTTTTTTCGATGCCAGAGGGCATGTTGACGTCGCCGAAGGCCATCTCCACACTGACTGGGATAGATGTTCTGCAACGATTATCTCGACGAATGGGCAGCGGCGGTCACCTCGCAAGCCCTTACCTTTTCGCAGTCCGCCAACGTCCGAATTGGGCCTGCCGCCGGTCCCCGCTTTCGTCCGTATGTCGGGAGCGGGAGCACTTGCTCAAGCTCTTGAGTCAGGAAGCAGCAGGAATCAATTGCGGATCTGGATCGGGCGCTGGCGGCGAAGCTGCTTCGCAGTGGCCGCAGAGCCAAGAAGCGTCTCACGGGTGAGACTGTCGGGCTTTGGTTCCAGTTGCGGGACACACAAACATGCCACCCGAGGTGACGCGTGCCCATTCAAGCATGTTCTGCGAGCTGAGGCGGCCGCGGACGGTGGAGAAGCCCGGGCAGATGATGGCGGTGCGACTTCAACTCCTCGCAAGCCATCTGCGCTCGTTGTGCGGAACGCCGGCGCTCAGGGTGCATGCGGGGTAGGGCCCTCTGGCTCTGGGTAGGGGCACGGACTTCACCGCATGATGGGGCCAAATCTAGGAGAAGCGGAAGGTGTGGTGCGCGTGGCCGAGCGCGGGCTACGCGCGACGGTGGCGGCTGACGTGTTGGAGCAGCGTGGAGTCAGCGACGCACGCGCCGTTTCTGCACCTGGGGCGGGTGTATTCGACACAGGTACGGTACGACCGCGTGCAATGAGAAGCAGTCTCGCTGAGTCACGCGGTGCGTGCTTGGCGCCGCGAGATCGAGGGCATTGCAAGCACTTCACCTGGTACTGTGGTGTCGCTGCGTCGGGTCGCTCGTGTGCCGCTGTGCTGCTGTGCTGCTGCTTCCCACGGCCTGGGCGTTCCAGTTCCGAGAACGGGTGGACGGGGAAGGCCGGTAGCGGAACGGCGGAACAAGAGCGGCCGGAGCTTTCACCCCACAACCCTGCCATTGCTGTACCGGTTGGAGGTTGGAGGCAAGAGCACGAGATCAAAAGCAACAACCGCGCAGCCAAAAGATGGCTCGCCGAGACGTGTGTAGGTAGTCGTTTGGGAGCCATGTCCGCCTGGGAACCTCGCAGCAAAGTCCTCGTATGTAAGAACCTGGGGGGGGGGGGGGGCTTGACGACAACCTCTGATGCAATGTCCATCTCCCATGTTCATCTACCTAGTTGATGACGATCAATGGTCGTGGACATTGCCTCCATTTTCCATCGTTGTGCGGGGTTTGCGGTTTCTCAGACGCCCCCCCCCCGGTCGACTACTATAGTACTTGTTGAGTCGATGGCAATCGCTCGTGCGTTGAACTGCGTACGATGGCCGGGGTGTGGGGCGGCAGCTCCGCCCCCGCCTCGTTCCGCCGACGCCTTTCCAAAACACCTACTCGTTCTCGAACGACCAGCCGGCCGGGTGTTTCGCGTGGGGTTTTGTCTTCGGGCCTTGCTGTTCGTGCCACAGCTCTTGCCGCAGCTAAGACCCTTCCACGTAACCGTAGACAGTAGTGCCCTTCCGCTTGGTGCCAACCTTGCACAAGATCGTCAAGCTAGCCTTGACGCTGCCGTTGCCGGTACTTCCCTCATGCACGGCAGTGGTGGTAGTGACGGCAGTAGTGTAGCTGAACAATGTGCACCGCGTCCATCACACGCAACTCACAACTGTGGCCAAGATGCCCTTTTCCTGCAAACGTATGGCATGTGTGAGCAGCTTCCGAAAGTGTCTCCGTTTTATCAAGGTGCAATGTTGGGCCGGAAAGCCCTTTTCGGTCATTGCCGCAATTGGAAGCGCGTTCGCGCCTTTGTTTATAGCTCGGCAGGTGATTCCTATTCCCATTGTCTTGCGACACATGGGTGGCTCTTCGCAACAAATCAAGGTCTCAAAACCGCGCTATTGCACCTCGCACGTGGGCCAGCAGGCTTCTGCTTCTTTGCAGATCCTACATTGCCAGTGCATTCACAGGACAAGGGCTCCTACCCCTTAATCCCAAAACATGTTTCGCCTGCCTCGCCAGGTGATTGCCTGGTGATTTCGATATCCGCACCTCAATTCGCAACACCGATATAGTACCTCGCAAGAACCCAATCGTTGTTTGAACCGTTCGGGTGCCGACCATTCTATTGAAGTGAACGTCACCGTTGACGAATTCTCGTGCGGTTTGATACCCCAGAGTTGGGCGACCTGAACGACAACCCTGCCACTTTTCTACCGCCACCTATGTTGGCAGGCCGTGTGAGTTCTTCTCGTCGCAAGCATGCGGACGTCTCCACCTGTAAGGATAAGCGCAGCCAGCATACCTCCTCTTCTCAAAATCGAAACCACATTGGTAGCCACCGGTTCCTCATGGTCACTTGCCCCGGGACGGCTAGCCCCATTCACACAACGACGTAAACAACGGAAACTTTGTTGGAAACAACAATTGATGCCGAAACTGCAACCGACAGTTAGGTCGGCCCATTGTCCGGAATGATGGTTTCGACCACCACATAAAATATCCTGCTGGGTGAACGAGAAAGGACTAAGCACGCGTGACCTTGTCCTCTACATTTTTTTGTGCCAACTCTCTTGCAAGGGTTTGAGGTCCTACCTACACAAGTGGTGGCTTGATCGGTGAACGCGTCAAACTACATTGTATGTATCCGAAACAGCACCATTCCTACGTTCTGATAAAGTTGGCAGTCGGCTCCGAATGTCACGCACAGCGGAAGGCGTGGTACATTCGAGCGGCACGGATCCACGGCAAGGATAACCTTGCGTCTAGACACGCCTCGCCCACATCTTTGTCCGGGAATCAGTCGACCTCGTCCGTAAAAACCCACAAGAACGAGTATGGATTTCAAGTATCTGGTGCTGTCGGCGATGGCGGAGCAGCGGCGTCATGCAGAGCCCGATCCGTGCACCGTGTTGTGCTGCTCCTTTTTCGCTTGCAGTTTCAAGGCAAAACTTAAGAGGGGCGAGCATGAGGAGGGAAAGGGAAACCGCGGAGGAACGGGGAAGGGGTCCTCTACAGTCAGGACACGGCGAGATCTCTCAGGAAGCATGGTCTGGCTCGAATAGTCGATCGCCATGTAGATGACAAGAACAACACACGAGCTAGTGCTGGTATTTTGCGCGCGAACACAAAAAAAAGAGCGAATTGGACGCGAATGGCGGTTGTGACGCATGACATGAGATCTTGCACAAGAAACCCTGTCCTCGACCATTCCGGCTCACACGTACTCCCAGCTACGCCAGACACAACAAAAAGAACGTTTCGTGGTTCATGCAGAATATCGGTGACGGCACCAAACTACGCAACCACCTGTTGTGGAGCCTCAAATCTGCCGAAAGCACTATTGCATATGCATAGCAGAGGGGATAGGCACTATCCTCATGCATCGGAAACACTCACTGCGGGTTGACGAGCGACTGGAAAAAGGCCTTGATGGTGGCAATGAAGGAAGGTTTCTTGGGCGCCTTCTTGGACTTGGACGCTTTGGAGCTCTTGCTTTTTGCCGAAGATTCCTTCCCCTTGATGGACAGACGACAAAAGCGTCGAGAGAAGACAACACGTGAACGGTCGTCGGTAAGACCCGAAGAATACGTCCATTACTGTTGGGGGGCACCCTGATGCTATACCTGAATAATATGCCGGCAGTAGACGAGTGCATCGAGACAAGTGCGTCGGTCTGGAGCGCACGGGCCGGCGCGGGGGAGGTGATTCATACGCATGATCCAAAACCATAACTTCCCCCTGCGCTGGTGCAGACAACTCGTGCAGACAACATGCAACGAGTGTTGTGCACGTGGAGGAGGGAACAAGCCCAACACTGGAGCTGCAGCGCGTGTCTGTATCCCCTCTCTACTACTGCTGTTGCTCCGAAAACAGTCCTGCGCAAGCGGACATCCACATAACCTATCAACACTTTTCATCTCGTCGCTCTTGACGGACCGGGTGTACAGCAGCGGTGCAGCATCATCATTTAGGTTGTGTAACAACATGTAGATGTGTTGTGCGTTGTGCCACCTGTCCACTTTCATTTCAAGCAAACTACACAACAGGAAACGCATGTACATATTTAGGTCAGCATCCCTCCTCTCCTTGCTCTCGGTTTGTGGTCATGGGAGGGATACGCCTCCATGTCTGTATGTCGCCCGTCCTGTCTCTCTCTCTCTCTTCTCTTTTCCCCCAAATCGTCTCTCGCCCTTTTTCTCTCAAAAACATGAAGTAAACAATCACGTCTCCTTCGGCGGGGAGGGTGCCGACAACGCCCGCTGACATCCGCTCCAACCTCGACGGACGAGAGGGAAGCCACTTCACAGATCACTTTTATCAAACCTCCTGTGGTACACGAGGGGGGGCTTGTACTGTGAGATGCTCTTGAAATAGTGCTAAGAGATCCACTATGCACTCACGCACAAACGAACCCACGGACAGCCTCGACCAAACTATTGCACGCCCTGTGCGTGCTTTCGTGTTGTTGTTGCGGGCACATGCCCTTGCAAATCTGGGGATGTAGCCAGCTTTTCGTTACTTGTTTTGTTGCAAAGAATGGCCTCCCCACAAGGGTTCGAGTGCCAATAAAATAAGGTACTTCGAAGTGGTATGCACATGCATATGTAATAATGCGCGTAGTTGAAAGACCGAGAACCAAAAGAGCACCCTTTCGATCGTTGTGTACGGAAGGTTCACCGAATGAACATCTCTGCGTACGACATCTCCAACATGTCAACGATACTGAGACGGCACCGGAGTCAAAACATGCACCTACTGCGTACAGGTCCGGCACCACCAAGACATGGGCAGACATGAACTGGGGGTTCGATTTTCACGAAAAGCGAGAACTTGAATCGTACCCGCACTAAAACCTCTATGTTCCCTGTGGTTGGTCTTCCCAATGACCAAATATGGAGCGACGGTGGCGCAAAGTGTAATGATGAAAGCGAGTTATTGAGTGTGGACAAGTTCTTGACCTCACGACGCACCACCAGAGGGGAACCAACCCGGCCTCCGCCCACCTTTTTCGACCCCGTCGTCTTGCCCCCCCTGAGATCTACCACCGGCCCGTCAACAACTTGCTCCATCTGGCCCATTGTAGCGGCGACCGCGCTCTCTCGCCCCTCCGACAGGGCGCCAGCCCTTCGGATGGAACTGCATTCAGAGCATCGGGAAACGGCTTGCTTGTCAGTTGAACGGAATGTACGTGGGGGAATTCACGACATCCGGGGCAGCCTGCAACCCTGGCCTGCTTTGGGGCGTAGCCCAAAACGTGAAGCACTGAAACCAACGCCCAGTTGTGGTAAAACCAACGGAGCCATTATTCAACAAGCTTGTCGGCGGTGGTGTGGAATTGGCTCTGGTGTGCTGTAAGCGCTCAGCTCGGCAAGGATCCTTCTCCGCGGTGGGGTGGCGGGGACTGGCGAGTGGGAACACGGGCAGCCGCGCCGCCGGCATGACCTCCTAAGGCCGTAAACAAAAAGCCACCGCCCGGTGTGCCACACTCATTCTTGAAAATCTCCTCGTCTTTATGGAATTGCTGGATTACAGCAGTACTGCTGTACAGCAGGTTCAGGGGCTGTATGCTCTCCCAACACGCCAAGTGGCAAGTGGCAAGGCTAGGGGGCATCCGCAGTATCCCCACTCATCGTCTTTCGATCTTTTCAGGGCAGGACAAGGTTACTGCTGTGGGAGCTCACCACCAGAAGCATAGCACACAGCAGCCTGGGGTACCGTATCACAACTACCCTTCCAGCAGATAACGTTTCGGTGAGCATGACTCGGTGATGCCCGGGTGCTGAACGTTCATGCGATATATAGGTGAGTTCGTCCTTGAACCCAACAGCAGCAGCAGTACAGAGTACACGGCGTCCTCTCACACTCCCGCACCTTTTGGAAACCACGAAAGCATGCGACGAATTCAACGTCGCAGCAGCGTGGCAGCAGATGATTACTGAGGCCGCAGTACTCAACCTCATGATGCTGGTGTGGCTCTTGACGGTGATGTGGTCGTGTGGACAACCCAAACAGCACAAAAGTTGCGGGCCCAAAGTTGTGGCACGTGAGGTGGGAGCTCCGTCGTTTCATGCCTTGTTGCAAGCCCCCCCCTACGCCGAACCTTTTTGTGATCTGCGACACACACGCCGAACCTTTTTTTCTATTTTTGATCTGCGACACACACGTACGTGCCGGCTGCTGTACGCGGGTGCATTGCCGTCGTTCTCCGGGCCTACTGCGGATGGAAGGAGCCTTGACCCGCCTCTCGCTCTCTCGGGTTTCAAGCAATCTGCAGTTAGGACCTAGCAGGTGCGGAGTGTTGCTGATTGGTAACATCGATGAACAGAAGGCGGTGCTACTGCTGCTCTGTTGTACCTGCACCACAGCAGTAGATTCACTACGGTGAGGAGAGGCAGCACACGAGTAGCATCTGCAGCAACATCATGGAGAACTACACTGCACGGAAAATTACCACTTTCGATATATCTGCAGCGCGCACATCGAAAGTCGAAGTTTAGCGGTGCGAAGTTTGACGAAACACTAGGCGCCCGCTACAGCAGTAGTTCCCATGTCTCAAGGGTCTCGGGGATGGTCCAAATCCAACCACCGCACCGACGTCTTGCGCCGATTGTACAGCAGCACTGCTACTATCCCTCGGGTGCCCAGTTGGCCCCTTAAAAAAATGTACTTGTACTCAAAGCAATCGCTGTAACTCCCAAAGCCATGCGGTTGCTGCTACACTAATTCATCATGTACATTCGCGCTAGGTGGGTGTGTTGCATCGCCAAGTTGCCAAGTCAACATACGTACATGTACAAGAGTTCCTCCGCGGGCAACCCATCCCAGAGCATCACTACACACTGCTGGGGGGCGAGATCGACATCCCTACTCGGACGATCTAGTTACGCAGTTTTCTACCCGTTGTGCAACATTGTCCAGATCTTCAATTCACTCGGGGACTTTCTCATGCACCGAGAGATATCTTCTCAACCCCTTCCGCCTTGTGTGGGTTTGTGCAGTGCGGCGTCAAACCCAAACAACCATTGCGGCTTTTTAAAACATAGTCTTTGTGCGATACGATCGCTTACCGTAGGTGACACAAGATGCCATACCCCCTGAACCGTTTGTCAAAGCTCGACTTCTCCACGGCGAAGAGGATGTGTGAATCAAACGATAAATACGTCCTCGGAAAACTCAAGGCGAGATGGTTCCAACGACGCCATTTTCGGCACCGCCGCTCTCCTCTGCTGTGGAGTAATCGAGCTTTGAAAAACAATCCAGGGGGTGTGATATCTTACGTCATCTACGGTATGCGGCTGCTGCTGCCCCGCTTTGTAAATACATTGAAGACAAAAGGGGTGAATGTAGGAACGTAGGACCCCACGGCTGTCCGATGTTTGCGGTCTCATACGCATCGCCCTGGTCGGTAGGCGACTAGACTACCGTGTATGACGCAAGATAACACACCCCCTGGACCAATTTTCTAAGCTCGATTACGCCACGACGAAGAGGATGCATCAGTGAAACAATGCATTTTCGGAAAGCTCTCGACGAGACAGCTTCAACGCCACCGTTTTCGGCGCTGTGACTCTTTCTGCTGTTGAGAAATCGAGAATTGAAAATCGGTCCAGGGCGTGTGTTATCTTGTGTCATTTACGGTGTTACTATTGAACCATGGCAACATACCACTGCATGTACTGGCTCCAAAGATCTTCAACGGCCGCCGAGATTCATCTACCTACCCTCTCATCCCATGTGCTCCACGGGGATGAAGCACCCTTTGCGTTCTTTTGACCGAGACGGGCCCTTCGGCAACAGGCTCCTTGATGTGGTTCACCCGTGCACATCCACGAAGCAGTCGGGTTCGTGGAAGCAACCACCGGCCTCCTTGCAGTTGGCGTAGATCCAGAAAGCACACGTGAGATGCGAATGATGTGGGTCACGAATATTAGCGAGACACTTCCGGCACGTCTCCCCCTTTTCAGGTACCCCCGGTGTCGCGAGCTGTCGTTGCTGCAAAGCAAGATGCGCCGCAAGTACCTCGTCATCAACCGTGACCCTCGACCCTCATTATTCGCATCTCGCGTGCGCTTTCTGAATCTGCGCCAACTGCAAGGAGGCTGGCCACCGTAGGGCTGCTTGCACATGTCATCCCATTCATTAACAGTCGCTAGCACCATGTTTGCGGCGGCGGCCATGCCAATGTCAAAGATTTGTCCGAGACCGCCGAGCCACATGCACCGAACCGACCGGCGCTCAGGAGTGCTGCGACGGGTGTGCGGGGGCGAAGGCGGCATCACAACAAACCGTTCCCCCCAAGGTCGTCAACCCTTCCCACGGTTCGCCTACGCCTTTCTCTCCAGCGTGTTTCCTGGCACATTGTTGACCATTTGTGTTGGTTAGACCCATGTGGTAAGAGGAGGCGCACCGTGGCATGTATATGCACGGCGGGGCCGCTCCAGAAATCCACCAACGGTGTCATGCAGATCCTGGATTACCACACTACCTACGGGTGGGCCGCATTCTTGCGGGACAAGATCAGTGCTACCGTCGTGGGAGAGCTCCGTGCGCGGTATTGCGTCCATCAAGCTACCCACCGCCGTTCGCGGTGATCTGCGGTGTGTTCGGACGGACAATGACACTGCCGTGGGTTGACGACGACTCTCGGGGGGGATGGTGTATCACGCGGGAACTAGCTGACGGCTGTAATCCACGGGACCACGCAACGATCGTGTGGAGCGGAGGATCGCGCTGGTTTCGGAGGGAGTCAAGGTGGTGGTTCGGACCGCGACGGTTCTGGAGTTATCGAAACTCTTCCCCAACGTTGTGTGTTCCCACGCTCTCGTTGTCCTTGGCCTGTCGTCTGGCCCCAGGCCCTCACACGGATGAACGACCGCCTCAATGTAACAGCGGAAGTGGAACAACTAGCTCACCTCCGTCGCTATGTTTAGGTTGTCGTTCATCCATGTGAAGGCCTCGGGACAAAGCGCCTAGAAGGACGAGCGAGTGGGGAAGGCAATGCCGGGGGAAAGTTTCGGGAATTTCAGAAACACAGCCTTGGCTCCCTCCGAGAAACCAGCGCGATCCTCCGCTCCACACAACCGTTTTTTGGGGGCCCGTCTACCGCCGTGAGCTAGCTCCCGCGCCATGCTTGAACCCAGCCCCCTCCAGAGAGTCCTGAATAACCCACTCGGTGTCATTGCTCTTCAGAGCACAACCCAGCTCATCGTGTACCGGCCATGAGCGGCTTATCTACGACGCACGGAACGCTACGACGACGGTAGCACTGATGTTGTTCCGAAAGGAACACGACCCACCCGTAGGTGGTACTGTCATCCAGGATCTGCTTATGAGGTACTGGGCGCCGCCAGTGGATTTCGGGCATTTCCCCGCCAAGGCCTTGGAGACGCGCTGGAGAAACAGCGTCGGCTGACTGCGGGGAAGGGCCGACGACCTTGGGGGGGGACAACGCATTTGATCGCCTTCGCCTCCCAGCGTCGCGGGTACTCCCGGGCGCCGGTCGGCTTGATGCCCATCTGCTCGGCGGTCTCGGGATTTGACGTAGACATGGCCGAGGGATTAGTGAAGGTCGTGACAGTTTTTTCCGCAAGCCTGGTCGCATGATCGACGCGACCATCACGGGGGTGGATAGACATAGGTACCCTGGATGAAGTTGCTCCCGTGAGCGAACTTCTTGGATTGAACCCGCCCCCTCTGACATTGAAGGGTAGACTGCCCTCTGCAGACCCCGTCTTGAATCCAGAAGAAGTCGTGTTGTACATACCTCGTCCCGATGACCCGACTGAGAAGCCAATACCCCGCCACTTACACACATGGCCCGATGTATCATGTTTTCATGTGGGCAGCTTAGAGGCCGGAAGAGAAAGAAGGTTAACTCAAGACCTGTATCGCTTGCCGAGCGAAGAGGGGTGTACGCAGAGCCGGACGGGGGGGGTCCATGGTACCCCAAAAAATTACCGTAACCCCCCAAAACATCATGTAGATATTTTCGACCTCTAAATGCCCCAAATACCTCACGGCCTTGCCTTGCTAACTCAAGAGGTTTCTATCGGGAGTCACACAGACGAAATACATCGGCGGTGCAAGTTTACACTGCGGAGGAGGTTCAGCTGTCCTGCACTCAAGTACACTCGACGGAAAAAACACGTTCCCCACCACTAGGTATGACAATGAGGAGTAACACGCCTCGCTCAGAACAATAACCCGGACCCCCAACACTTTAAGATACGTTTTGGAGGTTGCCACTGGGAGCGACTATTAACAGCACACACGCCAACCATGACTTCTCGTAAGGACGCCCTGACTGATCAACCACCGATTCTTCAACAGGATGCGTGTCATGACCGCCGGCTTCGGCATCAAGGTCGGGAGCACAGTGCTGGCTCTCGGAGGCAGCCCGGCCAAGTCTCTCCACGTCGCAAAAACGGCTGCGGCCGCCACGGCTGCCTTCCACGCACCCCCCCCCTGGGGGGCGAGATCGCGCCCCCGAACGAGCAGCGCGCTGGGGCATCGTGCCGGCCTCAGGGGGGTAGGGGGTTCGAGGCAGCGCAGCGGAGAAGAGAGGGCGAGGACCCGTTGGGTTGATAGCAGGTGAGGAGCTTGTCGAAGCAGCGGAGAACGGGCCCGCAATAAGCGAGAATATAAATACAATGTATTCCGTTTGCATGGCGTAGAGGTTCAATTTTCACGTAATATGAAGAAAGCAGCACTGGGAAGCACTGCTCGCCGGTGGCGGGGAATAGGGATCTAAGCCTCGAATGTGAAGTTTCTTAGAAAGAGAGCCGTGCTGAAGTTCGTTGGTGACAGCATGCAGCGTGAAGTGAGATTGGCGTGGCATGACGAGCGGCGAGACTAACATCCTGTGTGATTTGGGAGCGATGTTTATTTGATCTCAGAGAACGCGGGGATGTTGGGGAAGGCACAGTAGTGTAGTGGCTGGACCATGTGGGGCTGGATCGCATTGGCACAGACGTTGACCCTGCTGTGTCACGACTCTTCTTTTCACAGCATGGTTTGACCCCTTGTGGCCTTTCACCTGTCCCGTACCCTCAGTCACGGATGAGTGCCCTGGACAAGACTGTACACCTTGTGTTTTTTGGACCGAACCCTTTTTCCCCTCGTCTCGGTTCTATGTTTAACGTCGATGCCCTAAAAAAACTGAGCTTGGATCAACCCGGGGGAATTTTGTAGAGCTGAATAGGAAGAGACTGGCCATCTCTGAATGTCTTGGGTTGTTCCGTCCCTTTCCCTCTCTAACCGTCAAGGTTTTGCTGTTGGAACTGAATCTTGGTGGTACACGACCTTGGAGGACCATTGTTGATTATGTAGTTCGGACAAAGCGGTCTAGGGTTGATGACCCCCGGCAGTTGCCCATGGAGACAACGGTTACACAACGTGTGACTCAACTAGATTTCTGCTGCGATCTCAACTGAGTGAAGAGAAACGCGACTCCTCCGAGAAGGGGGCACCGTCACTCACTGTCTCGCACATACCTCAGAGGCTCCTTATATCACTATCGGGCGCCACGTACCACGACCTTATGTCTCTCTCTCTCTATATATATATATATCTGTCTCTTTTCTCTCGCTCGCAGAGACCTATGTGTTAACGCCGTTGTCCCTTCTGTCTTCCTTCGTGGAAATCCGACTCTCGTGTTACCCTTCCGCGAAAACCGTGCTACTTTCTATCGCGGCACAAAGGCTAGCGCCGCAGGATCGCGCGCCAGGGGGAAGGGTGCGAATGACGGCGACGGAACGGCAAGGGAGGACCATCGCCACCGCCGTAGGGGCGGAAGGCTCGGACATTTACTGCAATAGGGAACTAAACATGAACCAGGCGAGTCTCTCTTCAACACCTGGAAAAACACCGCCCAAGGCTTTCAGTGGCGCTGATAGTGGCGGTGGGTGTTGTTTTTGTTGCCGTGGTGTTGCGAAAAGAGCAACAACAACATCGCCGCTCCACGGCTCCAGATGAAGGTTTTCGTCGTCAGCATCGTCGACTGCAAGTAGACGTGATTGTTGCGCACCGGATTTTCACTCCAACGTTTCGGACGTCTTGTTTAGAGCAGCTTCGTACAAGTGCCAGAACATATCGTGTACGCAACGCTCAGGTGAGTGGGCTGTCCGTTTCATGTTACTTCCATGGACGCTTTACCCCAGCGGCATCGCCCCACGCCCACGCTGACCCGTTCCGCCAGATCAAGGCCGTCGGTTTCGACATGGATTACACCCTGGCGCAATACTTCACGGCCTTCGACCAGCTTGCTTTCGACGGCGCCAAGGAGAAGCTGGTCAAGGACCTGGGATACCCGCAAGACGTCGACGGTTTCGTGTACGATCCGGAGCATTTTTCGAGGGGACTGGTCATCGACCTGGAGCGTGGTGAGATGGTCAACACGTGCTTGAGTGTCGTCCATATCGTCTAATGCGATACCCCCCGTACCTCAGTGGTTCGTACAAGCGCGTTCTAATGCGATACCCCCCGTACCTCAGTGGTTCGTACAAGCGCGTTGCAGCTCTTGCTTCGACGCTTCTTCGAGGCCCCCAAGCGAAGCGTGTGCACTTCAGCTAGCTGGTAACCCTACAAGAAATTACTGACACAGGTACCAACAATGGGTGTAGCTTTCAGATCATCACACGATCTCTTGACTGCAGATTGAATCGAAGAAAGAGTCCGCGAACGTGCGGCGATCTGTATGTAGGACACGCAGAGACAGCATCCTGTTTTTTCGTGCAATAGGTTCCGGCCGATACGTTTGCTCTACTGAGTTTTGTTTTCTTCTTGATGGACAGGCAACATCATCAAGATGGATCGGCACAAGTACGTCCGAGTGGCTTTCCATGGCTTCAAAAAGCTCAAGAGCGACGAGAGAAAACGGGTCTACTTAGACGGGCAAAAGGTATCTACGGCATCTACGGGTTCGAACCGTGCTCTGTGGGTTCGAACTTCATATCGAACAATATTGCGATCACATGCACGTGCAAGCTCGAGAAACAGTCCGAAGGAAAAGAGTTGAAGTGTTCACTGTCAGTGTTGAGGAAACCCGGCTGGATGTTGGGCTTTTTCGAGCCTTTGCGCTGCTAAGGGATTGGTGAAACCGGGTCGGCAAGAAAACACGTACCATGGAATACTGTAGTCGGGTGTGCGTGAGTGTGTGCTTTTAGGCTAGTGGTGTCGTTGCTGCAGATCCAACTGCTGTATTCTGCTGCGTTTGATCACTCGCTCTGATATATTCGTGTTGTCCATGGTCTGTGGGACATGTGTGCGTTGCGCAGGAATCAAAAGTCTTCCTGTTTAGGCGAAGCAGTTTTTTATGTATTTCTTGCAAAGGCTTTCTTCACGCGAAACACGTCCCCGTGGTATAGAGCCAGTTTTTTCAACTTTTGGTCGTCAAGCATACGCGCAACGGGTGGCTGGCGGTCTTCGGGCCTACGCGGCAATGTACCGACGATCCCCCTCCGTGCCCCTCAGAAGAAAGTGTAAGAAAAGACTCGCTTCCGCCAGGTATAGATGTTAGCGTATTACGAAAACTGTCGAAATTGTACATATACATTTAGGATGACATGCTTGTTGTGTCTGATTCCGCTCCGCAGCTGCACACCTTCACGGGCCGGAAGTACGTCTCGATGGACACCCTCTTCTCCCTCGTAGACGCGGTGCTGTACGCGCACCTGGTAGAGCTCAAGGACAACGGCGACGAGACTCTCAAGGGAAAGGTAGCAGCTTCGATCTTGGTGTGATTCCACGTCTGTTTAAGAGTGTTTTTTGCGAGTGTTGCCCGTGTCGTTTCAGGAGAAGGGTGAATGCTGGTCTTCCCAAAGGAGGCTTTAGGGCCCCTGAACTGCGTTTTGTCTGCCGCGGCAGCGGTTTGCGCCGTGAGTACTGGCTGACTGCCACACATACTACCCGCTGCCGGTTGAATACGCGGGACCTGTCGAGCTATACAGAGACGCTCAGGGTTTCGTGGAGGGCGAGACTTTGGCTTTCACGCCGAGCATTTTGCGCAAGACACCGAAGAGCGTTTCTCCAACGGCGTGGTCTTAACTCTCCTTACCCTACAGCAGTAGATCCCTACCCTAACCCTCGCTGATTTTCCACCGTCTATGCCTACGCTCGCTCGCTCCTTGTGGCGGTTGTATGGGCGTCTCGACCGTTTCATCACCCCCTTCCCTACAACGAAACCCCCAGTCCTACGAGCGGCTGTTCCGAGACGTGAGGAAGTGCGTTGATCTGTGTCATCGCGACGGGGTCATCAAGGACAGGGTGGCAGAGGATCCGGCTAAATACATCATGCCGGACCCGGACATGGCGCCAATGCTCAAGCGGTTCCGCAAGGAGGGAGTGCAGGCAAGCGTCGACTTCAAACCACGAGTGCACATCGAATTTTGACCGAAATTCTGTCTACGAAACGGATTTTGAAGCCTGGTGTGTCTACCAAATGAATAAGTGGTATTCCCCACGGACAAATCTCAAAGACATCTGCAGGTGCAATAGGAGAAGTGACAGAAGCCCCAAAATAGACGACGACCAAAATATTTCAGAACCGTAGAAAATGACATTCCCCACGCGCAGACCATCAAACAGAACGTGGCCGTACATAACCGCAGTTTTCTTGTTGTCTTCAAGTCGTTGGGACTTTTATGTGTTTGATTTTCGGGATCTTCTGTGGGTCAAATCCCCTCCTTTTATTTTTTTTTCTTTCTTGGACACTTGTTCGCGTGACGGGCAGGTGTTCCTGCTGACGAACAGCCTGTGGGACTACACGCACGTGGTGATGAACTTCTTGTGCGGAAACAGCAAGAAGGAGGACCGAACCACAGAGTGGTTGGACCTTTTCGACGTCGCCATCACCGGGGCCTGCAAGGTATCATGTACCTCTGTCAACGCGAAAATATCGCATTCCCTGCTGCTGGCCCCCTTATTGTTGTCTGTATATTGCCCGTGGAATGAGGCGGTGACGTCTTGTTGACATGTGTATATCAGCAGTTATTTGTCCTCCGGAAAAGTATCAACTACTTTCATTTGATGTTTTGAAACCGCGATCTTGAGCCAAAAGAGATACTTCTATATGACAGAAAACATACGTTGGAGAGCTAGAGGGGAGGGAAGACAGAGAGAGATAGGGAGAGAGGGAGGGAGGGAGAGATAGAGAGAGAGAGAGAGAGAGAGAGAGAGAGAGAGAGAGAGAGAGAGAGAGAGCATGTCCTCGTTCTTACCTCGCATCATCTGTATGCCCTGCCACCTCGAACGAACGATGGCGCAGCCGAGCTTCCTGGTGGAGCCCTACCTGTCGCTGTTCCGGGTAGACGAAGAGACCGGCAGTCTCAGCAACACGGACGGGGTCATGGGGACCCCGAGCGAGTTCCTCGCCAAGGGCAAGGCGAGAAGAAATGCCTCCTTCCTCCCCAACGAGGACGAGGCTTCCGTGGGTGTCGTATGGAGTGTGGCCGTTTGTCCCATTTATTCGGGCGCCAGTCCACCCGTCTCTCCGTGTATACGATTTTATGTACCACTCCAGGGTCACATAGGAGGAAGGTCACGCATGAGGAAGGTCACGCAGGAGCATTTTTTTTTGCATTTTTTGGCCCACCTTTCTTCATGTGGTGCTTGGTTTGCCTTAATATTTATCGGGAGATGGGTTCAGCCATCCCTTTCTCTTGTCGACGCTGAAGTCGAAGTGACCGCGGCCATCTTGGACGGTTCGCTTCGCCTTGTGTCGGTGTTTGGTTCCAATCGATCTCCTCGATGAACGACTCAGACCGAGGCGACAAGCTGCGATATGTCAACCCGTTTCGTTGATGTCCAACCTCAGCAGAGTCAAGTCTCCCACGCCTCCTTAGCCATTGTCGATTCCCGTCTTAAACGTTGGCTGAGTAAGTATAGTTCTCGCACCTTTTCTGGGTTGTTTCGTGTGCAGGTGTTTCAGGGGGGAAACTGGCTACACCTCCACGACCTGCTCACCCTCTCGTCGGGAGACCAGGTGCGTTAGCTATACATAGCCCATACGGTTGGGTGTCATTTGTTGCTGTCTGATTGTTTCTTTTGTGGTGGTTTCAGGTTATTGGGAACAGAGGCGACGCGAGAGCTCGACGAAGGAATGTTCTCATACTACACGCGCGAGATTCATGTAGCGAAACGGCAGGATTGTTGTTTCCTTTGCGACGGTGCCGCTATGTTACATATTTCGTTCCCATGGTTGCCCGGACCGATGCCGCAACATCCTACACGGAGCCCCGCCCGCACCACGTACTACATATCCTCCTGGTGCCACTTTTTCTTGCCGACATTGGTGGCCCCGGCGTCTTGTCGTTTTCGTTCACACGCCCTCCCCCCATCGTCCAAAAGCTGCTGTACGTGGGCGACCACATGTTCGCGGACATCTTGAGATCGAAGAGGACGCTGGGCTGGCGGACGTGCCTCATCGTCCCCGAGCTAGAGAACGAAATGAGCGCCAACCGAGAAAACCGAGATCTCCGGTGCGGTTGTTATTTTAGGTCGGCAGAGCCCCTTCTGCCCGCAGTTGGTCGCTTGTTCAGCAGAGCTAGCTCACCACCTTGGGCGAAAGCGGTATAGCCTCCATGTCGGACTTGTCACTGCTGTGCGTGCCCAAGCTGGCTACGCACACCACGATTAACACGTAGTCAATGCACCAACCAAGCCTCCGGCCTATAGCGATGTATGACAACTGCCCCGTAGTTAGTTGGGGTTAGGACTGTTAACAGGATGAGTTTCAATCAAGTGCACGCATCAGGAGTATGTGTTTGTCTTGACTACTGTAAGTCATTTCTCACGGCTCCGCATAGTTGTATTAGTTCGTTGTGTTGGACGGGGACGATGTCAATTGTTTTACGAAGTCCCGAACGAGCAGCATGCTGAGAACCTGCAATGCGAGGAGTGCAAACAAACGGGTTTTGTCTCCGCTCAATCATGGCGGATTTGTTCTCGCGTCTGTGCTGCTTCCCTGCACCCGCAGGGTGGAGGTGAACATGCTGAGGACGCTGCAGTACCATCTAGACACCCGCCTAGACGACGTGCGCCTTCAAGCCATGGTAAGCCCACCGCACAGACAGACACCCCTTTTTTGCAAGCTGCACGCCGAGATACGCATATGGTACAGTGAAAAGAGCGTGCGAAACACCCAAGGCACTCTTTTTCCCATCACATCGAAATCCCTCTTGCGTGTACCCTGCTTCTTGGTCCCGCCACGCGCTGAAGGCGTCGGCAACACAACCACCGTAAACGTGCCGCTCGTCACGTTCAATCAGTGGCGCCCTGGGAAAGCCATTCCAAACGTCGAGTTTTACCGTGGTTTTGTCGTGATTTTCCGCTCCCCACGCCAAAAGAGTACATGATCCCTGCGTCATCTACCTTCCCTCAAGTGTGATGGCTCCGGCTGACCCGTCAATTATTTCACGAAATGTGCCGGTACTATACTGATTGAGCCGCACTGAGACTGACGTATTGTCGTTGGTCAGCCGGTTAGCGCGGTCGATGCTAAGAACAAAGACCCGCGCACACACACACGCCAACTGACGAACCCCCTCGGCGGGCGTCGCTGATCTCGGGCCTTCCCTGTCTCCCGCTCGCCCAGGAGGAGGGGCCCGACTCGCCGGCGGGGGCAGAGCTGTCCAAGCTTGAAGAGGAACAGGTGCAGCTCAAGTCTCTGCTGAGGGGCAACGGCCTCATGCTCCACTCCAAGTTCCACCCGGACTGGGGGCAGCTGTTCAAGTCCGGCTACCAGGACTCTCGGTTCGCCACCCAGGTGCCTTGTTGTACGGGTAACGTTTCGCACTCCCGACGGTTTCGCGGTGTATCTTGGACACTCCCGTGGCGGTGATGTTAAGCATTTGTTCTGTTTTCTGTCGAGACGTTTCTTTCTGTCTCCGTGGAAAAGCGAGAACGTGTCACTTGGTGGGGGGGGGACGTACTCTCATGTTTTGCATTGCTTATCGGTTAGACCATTGATAACGCGTCCTCGATGAGGACACGTCACTTGGTGGGCGGTGTTGTTCGTTTTTTCGCTCTCGGCCGTTGAACACGGCGAGAACTCGCTTGCGGTGTGGGGTTGAGAGATCTTGGATTTTTTTTTTTAGTGGTTGTGACGAGAGGGGTGCTGCTGTGTTGCCTCTTTGAGGCGGGTCTTTCTCTCTGCGTGGAACAAACCAAAATACGCCACTTTGTGATGGTGGTCCAGTTCGACTTTTTTGTTGTCCGCCGTAGAGCAGCAAACAGCACGACCCCTCCGTTGCAATGCGCTGCTGTGGCGTGCGAGAGTTTTTTCCCTGTACGTGTACTGCTTTCTTCCCTTTTTGGCCCCTTGGGCGATTCAACGTGTACTCGTTCCTCTTGCCCCGTCTTGGACCTTTGCGTGGCGTTGAACGGTGGCGCAGGTGGCGACCTATGCTTGCATCTACACCTCGAAGGCCAGTAACCTCGCAAGGGTGAGCAAGCTTGTACTTGTAGAGTTGATGCGTAAGAGGATGAGTGCCTCTTTCTTGAGTGCCTCTTTCCCAGCACCAAGAATTCCACCAATGCCACGTCGGCCTGTTTGCTTAGCGCAACAGCAACACTCTCGAGTTTTAGATATACCCTGCGGTAGATCCGTCAACCAGCACGTGACCTTGTCAATCGGGGTATATATGTGTCATCAAGAAACCGGCTTTATGGCTTGCTACTGTGGATGCAATTGCTTTCGATACGAAACGGCCTAGTGAGCGGCACTACCAGGACAACAGCCATAGCAACAACTACAACGCGTGCCTTTTTTGTTTTTGCGCTTACGGTGCAGGTGAGCACCCAGCGCTCGTTCCGTCCGGTCCGAGACGTCTCCGCCCACGATCTCATCCTTGAAGCAGCGGACTCCCCTAACGTGAGTTGTGGGTCGGCGTTGCAAGTACGCTATCTTCTTCACACCTTTTTCCACCGTAGCGTTTCAACAATCGAGGATAAATGAACCATGGTTTGCGGAATATTCCCATGAACGGCGTTCAAGCAACAAGGGTTTCCTGTTTTAACATTTTGTCGGAGTTATTGCTGCCTCCCTCGCCGCGATTCGTTCCACCACGACGCTCGCCGTGCTATCCCTTTTTTATATATATTATAATTTGCTGGATGCTTCAACTCGTTTGTTCCCTCTGTGCTTGACGTCTCGCCCCTCCTTTCAAACCCTGGTCAACGTGTCGTGTGCTGCACGGCGAAATCAACTCGTGGGTCGAGACAACTTTCAGGACCAAATGGAAGCATTGAGACAGCGCGTTCTAAATCTCAAGACACCCCCCAGCTAAGAGGTCGCCTCACAAGAGACACCTCTTACCCCCTACAGCAGTCGTTTTTCGCTCCTACAGGGCCAGCGCACCCCGATAACCCTGTTCGCTTCTGAGAGGTGACTCTTGCCTCGGATCACGTAACCTAGCTCGCTTGATCGCGGCTCAGATGTGAAGAGATGAACGTTTTTGTGGTACACACAAAGGGGGAAGTGTTGCATTGTTGCCCCAGCGCGGCCCGCTAGCTAAAACGCACACGAAAAAAAGTGTTGGTGGTGGTGATCGGGCAAGTGTTGGCTAACGCAAGGACCATGTAGGGTAGTACATGCCGAATTTTTGGTGGTTTCTATTCCAGGTGAGACAGTAGTACCGTACAACGGCACAATAGATCAGTGATATGACGTCTACGCTGGCGTTCTCGTCTCTGGACAAAACCCGTCTGCTTTCGACTTGTCCTTCGTTGACGGTGACTTCGTGGTGAGAGCATGAGATTCCTGTTATTTTTTTCTCTGTTGGGTTGCTCGACAGATGGGTTGCTCGACATCGACTGCATAGGTTCTAGTGTAGGACGTTCACTTGTTCCTTACAATACGGTCAGGCACTTACCAGTACAATTTTTGTGACGTTGAGGCTGACGTTCTTGCTCGCAGCTTCTTTTGCGTGTTTTGCTTGTTCTGGCACAAGGAGGCTCTTGTTTGAGTTTGGCCAATACGCCCTTGCCTGGCGACACACGTTCGTGTGGCCTACGCCTAGGGTAATTACTCCCGTTTGCACGTTGTTGGACTGTGTTGAGCTGCGAAAGGAAGAGCATACTATATAAAACGGACCCAGAGTCTCTGCTTTCTACAATGTTGGGTTGGATATGTCAAAAGGTTGAGGTCGGGAGACATTCTTCCAGCCTTCGTTGTCTTGTTCCAGGATGTATCTTTCTTGCTTTGTTGCTGTAATTTTAGTACCATTAGGGGTCAGGACAAGGTTTAGGTGATGGTGCAGGCGTTTGATTGCTACTGCTGTGCGGAGGGACGGATATGGGGTACCATGATGTGTGCGGGGACGGCCGTGGCGACGATATGCGCACGTCCAGTGTTTTTGCGGGCTAAATGCCGCACCCCATACCCATTGAGAGGCATGGATTATGGGCCAGGCTCGGAAGCTCGTCGCAGTAACGTACGGACCAGATGCTCAGCAGCATAGGCTAGGCTTTGTGTAGAGGCTCCGAAAAGGCGATAATTGTTTTCATTCGCGGTTATTGCGGAGAACTTGGGCCCGCTGACAAATCAATCGTACTGCAAGCCGTGTTTTTTTTCGCTTTGTGCGTGATCTGGATCACGCCGGATCCGATGTAACCACACAATCGGGTATCCTCCGTGCCGTACGCTAGTTAATCCTCGAGGTTTTCGTCACTTGACAAGGGGATGGGTCTACACCTACCGTATGCACCACACAATACCGCGCCCGCTCCCGGTGGAAACAAACTTGAATGTTTGCACGGGATTTACAAACAGCCGCCCAAAATAACACTACTACTCTCAGAGCAAGTAATAGGGCCACATTAGATGCCACAAGCCACGATATCACACCCGGCGATGTTTTTATGGGCCCAAATATTTTTACCGCGGGTACTACATCTGGTCTGTTACGTTAAGAGTCTGTGGTGGCAGCAGCTGCCGTATACGTGAAGGGACTTAGGACTTGGACACCCATCCACGCAGCTCGCCCTCTCTCAAAACAAGACGCAACCCGGTCGCCATCGCCAGCAGTAGCATGCCTGCCTCCCCCTCTCCAGGCTCACCTTCTCCTGTCCTCCAGTGAGTGTAGAAGTTTGGATGGATATTGGTCGGATTGAATAGAATTTCCTGACAAGAATGGACCCACAGGCTGAATATATTCTCGCGCACAAGCATCAACTCTGACACCATGGTGTTTAGACACCCAACCTTTGTCCCGTGCCCCACGACTCAACAATATCAAAGAGAGGCCGCGCGGGGGAGGACTGAGGACTTAGGCAACACCATAATGATAGATTTCGAGTACACGACCCAACCCAGATACTGTGAGTGCCCGTCCATTCTAGCATATGTTTTTTTTATTATTATTTTTTCATCAATAGACTAGTGACCCAACGGATCCATCTCCATCGAAGAAAAAAGGGTAAGATAGATTAGCAATGAATCCATTGTAGAATATAGCATCATCAGCGAAAATTCTGTTTTTCCACGATTTCCCGAGCAGCACACAGTGATATCTCCCCCGTGGGTAACAATGTTAACAAGACAGTTTGGTAGCCATCTTGTGTATCTACCTGTATGTTATGTTGGGAAGGTGTAGCTAGAAGGAATATGTTTCTGCAGACCACATTCTATATTTCGCTGCGAGAACAATCACCCGAATTTTGCATCTTCCCGCCCCTACGCGCGGTGGCATGCAACATATATGTACGTAGCCAGGCTCTCATCTCATCATCAATCTACTTGAAATAACTCAGAATGGCATCTTCGGGGAGAGATAATCTACAAGAGCGTCTGGTCGACAGGTGAGCGCATAGCATCAGCTGTAGGGACGGCAGAGGGAAGAGGCGCCGGGGTCCAAACAGGCGCGCACCGTTTTCCCTCTTTCCTGGCTCCGTTGTGCGTTGCACGCTTCTTTTCTCCATCTCTGCCCCGGTCGCGTGCCAGTGGACCCGTGGTGTGGCGCCTGTCATATACCGCCGCTCAACGCAGGTGCGCTATGCAAGAGCGGGACTGGTTTGTTCTCTAGTTAGACTACGAACTACGAACGAACTCCGTCTCCTGGACTCCCTCCTGGTTCTCTCTCTGCTGGATACCGAATACGACATACGACACAAGATACCACACCCCCTGGACCGATTTTCAAAGCTCGATTACTCCACGACTTTAGTTACGCAAGAGGATGGATCAACGAGACGATACCTTTTCGGAGAGCTCTCGACTAGACGGCTTCAACGCCGCCCTTTCGGCGCTGCGACCCTTTCTGTTGTTGGCAATCGAGCTTTGAAAATCGGTCTCTAGGGGGTATGTATCGGTACCTACAGACTTTCGGTTGTACCGGCAGCACACACACACGCACAAGATGGCGTGCATCACCCGTCACGGATTTACGCGTAGATGAGAACAGCGATGTTAGACACCATGTGCGTGCGCAATGCTTGGCATCATTTTTTGTTAGGTCTTGGTCAGGGCGAAGTCTTGTTTTCACGTACACGTCACGTGTTGTGGTGTGCTTGCAGCGGTCGGGAGAAAGTTCGTAGAAATTTGTGAGGACGCATTGCTGGCTGCAGTGGTCTCCAGCGGTCCACCGCTGTTGAACAGCAGTGCCCAGTTTCAAGACCTGGTGCTTCAAACACCCCGGCTTGAGAATGCGAAGGTCTCTGTCTTGACGCGCCGCATGAGCGCAACTCCCAGTTAGGGCGGGCCTCGAGAGACCAGAACCAACCGACTGCTGCTTAAGTGTCAGTGCAGTTTTGTCTCACAAACAGCAGAGCCTTTTGCTGGAGACGTCCGCTGGGGATTAAAGCATAATGCACTGTGGTGCAGTCGTTGCCCCTCTATAGTGCGATTATATGCCAAGCGCTTTCACCCGCACTATTACGCGAGTACCCGCACTATTCAATGTATTGACGTACCCGTACCATGCACTATTTGGACTTACGAGTGAAACACCTACGCCCCATGAGACCTCGTGAGATCTCATGGAACCTCATGAAACCTCATGATGCCCCATGAAACCGTAAGACCTCATGATGCCTCAGGGTCCCTCATGAGACCTTTTAGGCGACTTCATGAAGTCTCATGAGAACTCATGGTACATCATGACACTGCATGATACCTCATGAGACCTCATTCATGGTACCTCATGACACTTCATTAGACCTCATGATGCTCATGATAGCTCATGATGGCTTATGATAGCTGATGACAACCCATGGACTCTCATGAGACCTAATGGTACCTCATGACACTTCATGGCACCTCGTGAGGCCTCGTGATGCTCCATGAAACCTTATGGTACCTCATGAGACCTCATGAGACCTCAAGACCTCATGCGACCTCACGGAATCTCATGAGACCTCATTCATGGTACCTCATGACACTTCATTAGACCTCATGATGCTCATGATAGCTCATGATAGCTTATGATAGCTGATGACAACTCATGGACTGTCATGAGACCTAATGATACCTCATGATGACACTTCATGGCACTTCATGAAACCTCATGAAACCTAATGATACCTAGTGAGACCTCATGAGACCTCATGATGCTCCGTGGAACCTTACGATACCTCATGAGGGACCTCATGGTACCTCATGACACTTCATGATACATCATGACGCTGCATGGTACCTCATGAGACCTCATGATACCTCATGAGACCTCATGATGTCTCATGATAGCTCATGACACCTCATGGCACCTCATGACACCTCGTGGAATCTCATGAGACTCCATGGTACCTCATGACACTTCATGGCACCTCGGGAGGCCTGTCGTCATACTCCATGAAATTTTGTTGTACCTCATCAGACCTCATCAGACCTCAGGACCTCATGCGACGCCATGGTGTCACATGAGACCTCATTCATGGTACCTCATGACGATACAGTACCTCATGAGGCCCCATGATGCTCATGACACATCATACCTCATGATAGCCAATGACACCTCATGGAGTCTCATGAGACCTAATGGTACCTCATGACACTTCATGGCACTTCATGGAAAACCTCATGATGCTCCATGAGACCTTATGATACCTCATGAGACCTCATGATACCTCATGATGCTCCATGATGCTCCATGGAACCTGACGATACCTCATGAGAGACCTCATGGTACCTCATGACACTTCATGATACACCTCATGAGATATCATGATACCTCATGATGCTCCATGAAACCTGACAATACCTCATGACAGCTCATGAGAACTCATGATGCCTCATGAACTCTCTGACACCAGCCAATTTTACCCGCACTAACCTCGCATCCACATTGTGTAGCCCGCGCTATAGAACCCCCCCGGTGAGGGGTTTAGATCGAGCGAAGTATGGGTACAATTTCCCCAATGTCTGTCGAGGACGATTCCGTCCTTTCACACCACCTGCAGTCTTCGGCCGCATCGGATAGGGTACGACGCTTGGAGGAATACGTATCCGCGTTGCACAGCTGTTTGTAGCGCTGCTCCATTGCGCTCGGCACCCTAAATACCTCTATGTCGACCGCTCTCCCAGGGAGACTCGTGCGGCCACTCTCTGTGGTACATGTCTAGTAATCCACCTACAGTAGACTATAGTTTAATTGGATAATTGGAGGTTTTTCTCTTCAGAATGCTGTTAGAAGGCGGTTTTTTTCTGTGTGGTGGGTGGCGGGCCGGGAATGATGACATGATGTGTTACGTGCAGCAGGGTTCTCGAGATGCACAGCAATAGGCACATTGCAACAAGCAGTAGTTTTGACTTCGTCATAAAGCAGAAAGATGCATGTTTTAGGCCCCAACGACTGCTTTTCTTTTCGCCCGAACACAGGCCAAGCGATGATGACCCCGCCCGTACAAGCCTCGGGCAGCAAAGAGAAGCCGTTCAACCCGGCTACTCGCGGGGCAGAGGCGTAGTAGGTGATGATGCTTCTGCTGCCGGCCGAGACCTCGAACGCCAGACCGGGATCGCGTTGATTCCGACGGGCGGCCCCGGCGGTTCCCCTTCGGTCAATATCACGGAAGGCGAACCAACGCCCCCGCAGCCGGTTCCCTCTACTTGGGGTGGCCTCAGGAAGGGCTTGTGGCAGCTCGCGAGACTTGTGCTCATGCACATGTATTACGCTCCTTTGCTTTTCGATCCAGTGATCAGTGAGTGATTGCAGTTGGAACGTCCACGGTATCTCGCCAACAAGAATGCAATGCGGTATGTGTACCCACGTCTAGGCGAAGGAGTGCTTCATAGATGGTAGAACGCTGAGTGTGTACATGTGGCCTACCGGAAACCCACCATCTATCGACATCCAGCAACATACGGGAGAACGCTTTGCCCGAATGAACGGGATACGACAAGAACGCCTCCTAGTGCTGAAGCGTTCTCGCCAGTACGTTGAGGTGTGAGACCCCCCTCTCTTGCGTGACAGCGTGACTCCTACCGTGTGGTTATTTTTTCAGCATCTTGCTCTGTGCACGACGCTGCCGTGCGTTTGTTTTCCTCCGCTTTCTAGAAGTACACAACAATTGGAACCGATCACCAAAATTTTCTGAAAAAACCAATCTTCTTGTTCGGCAGAACAACTACACCTGTCACCTCCGCCATGTCGACTACCCGACCAACCACAGCCATTGTGAGCAAAGAACGAAGAGGAAGGCGTAAAGGGAAACATCACAGATTAGCGGGCCTCTTTGCTTAACGTAAACTTCGATTCATGGCTCTAACAACCCTTATTTACCTGCCAGGCGAGAAGACATGGAATTTGCTCGTGGTGGATGTCCGGGGCGCTGTTTGCGGGCTCTTTGGGGCGGCATTGCTCCAGGCGTTTAAGCTTGCCCTCAGAACAACAAGCTGGGGGTGGGTGAAGGGCTCCAACGAGATGATGAGGAAACAGGTCGTTAAGTACTTCGGCAGCTCGACCAGAACGGTGGGTACGAAGTACGAAGATGTGCAGCAGCCTTGCGCAACCAACAACCGAAAATGAGGGACCGAAAGCTTGGCGGAGTTAGTATTCTCTTTGTGTCGACGAATGTTCTTGCCCAGCCAATCAGTGCCTTATGGCAAGACCCCAAAAAGACATGCAGGGTAAATTTTTTTGTTTCCACACTCTTTCTCCTCTTCGGTCGATTTCGAGTTAACCATATGAAACGCGTCGAACGCTCCGAGATATCCGGGGCTCGCACGAAAGCAGCGGGCAGCATTGAAGTCACCGTCGAGTCTCGCCGGCCGCGGCTGTGCGCGTTGAACGATGCCGTTCCGAAGACAGCGCATTTGTGCGGTGGCCTTGCAGAGATATGTCTTTAGGTTGCGGCTTGTGTGCCCATTTGGCGGCTTGCGCTTCATACGGGTGGGTGCTCCTGTTGTTGGTTCGGGACGTCAAGCCGATATGTGCGAGAGACAACATGTTGTGATTGTGGAATCTGTTCCTCTTGGCTAGTGGTATTGGTGGGCGCAGCTTGCTTGTCTATACCAGTATGCATTAACTCAAGTCATCTATCGCTTAGAAACACCTACCGTAATCAGCAGCGTCCCGTGTCGGGCTCAATGCATGTGCGGGACAGCCATTGCTATTGCTTGCATCTCGCATTTACGGCAATGTGTTCATCCATTCTGTGGCCGGGACGTTGGAAAGCAGCCAAGACAGAGAAATCTGACACATTGACGCCAGAACGTACTACGAAGAGCCACCTGTCCGACCATCGCGCGCGCTGTTTCCGATTCGTGTAGCATGCACAGAGAGCTTTTCCACTCCCGCCGACTGTTTATCGATTATGACTCCTTGCGGCAGGTACGCGACGTGGTCACTTACGCTCTTCCCTTGGTAGCGTTCTTCCACACCTTCCTAGAGTGGGGGTTCCGAGGAGTGGTCACCGTCGGACTGGCTGAGACGACTAGCTTGTCCACGGCCGCCATTGCCCTTGTATCGGCAGTCGTATTCGGGGTGAGACGTTTAGAAGTCCAACTTGACATTGTCACTACATGGATATTTATTTGAGGTTTGTGCGTTTTCTTCACCTTCCCGCTTTCCGGCGGAGGTGCAAGTATTGGCATTGCACGTGCACACCCTTTTGGATCTCGAATGAAGTCTGGAAGTTGTACCGTTAAAATGGTGTCTCACCATCCTCCGCTTACTGGGTGTATACATGTTGTGGGTCGTGTACAACTAACATGAGTTTCTATATGTTTCGCTTCCGCTTGTGAGTGTGCCATGGACACCACGGGTGGTCACTTTCGTCTCTGTTTGGGCAACTGTTCTTGGTGTTTCTCTTCGAAAAGCCCGTCTTGGCTCTTCGGGCGGTGGAAGGCGAGGCAGGGGAACGGCTGATGAGTCCTCTTCGTTAGTGCTCCACCAGAAACTGCTTCCGGCACGAAAAAATCATGTGCGTTTAGAAATGTCGACTGGTGTTAGGATCACTCGAATGGCTTCAGGATATTAGCTCTTTGACCGAAGTCTCCTTGGGGCAGGTGGTGTTTTGCTCGGCGAGCGGTGTGCGTGTGTTCCAATGAAAGCTCAGAACAAGAAGAACACCCTCGTCAACGCCCCTCCCCTTGCCCCGTTCGTTCTGCCTCGTTGTGGTGCTTGTTGGCCGACCTCGATCGCGGGAAAACGTGTTGCGGTACACAAACACGCTCCGATGCGGCGAGGGTACAGGCGTTCCTGTGTTTCTCACCGACCTCCTTCATCTGTTTCACCTGGGTCAGCGTTTTCATGCAATCCCTGCTGCTGCTCACTGGCAACATCTTTGTTCCTATCGTGGCGCACACGGTCCAAAATGTGGTCGAGATCGTGCAAATTCATGTCAAGGTACGTAAAACTCCCTCGTAGGGCTGGCTGGCTGCAACTCGCTCTCAGCATTGTTCCTGCTTGCGCCTTCCAACAATGTCCATCCTCGCTCACCCCTCTTGCTTTCCGGCGTTTGCCCGTTCGATCTGTGCAATTTCGCGGGCACCACGTCCCGCCTCCTCCTACGGGCGCTTCGTGTCTTGTCGTTGCAGGCAACTCGGCCACCGCAGCGCGTGGTGCTTGACGACTAGCCAGCGTAGCCGAGGAGCTGCAAGTCGTCGTATTTGCGCTCCCAATTCATTGTCTTTCCCGTTTTCGAGGTTTCTAGAGGAACAGCGGGAACAGTATGAGCGTGGACCGTACGGGGGCTTTGAGCGAACGTTGTACATAGGAATCTCTGCAAGATCGGGTTGAAAATCCTTTCCCCAACGCTTTGGTCTCGTGAGAGAGAGTGGACCAGGACGATAAGAATACGATGGACATCCTGATGCTGTTAGATCTATTCCATTAGTATCCGGGTTGCGTTGAGGTCACGGTATCACCGTGAACTCGTGGATCAAGTTGAGAGAATTTATTAGAAATAGTTTCCTGTCTTTTTGTGGTTGGGTGTATGGACTGTCTATGAAGAAGGAACGCCCCTCAGGCTGGCGGGCCCGCACTTTTAGAGACTCACTGAGGAACAAGCCTAACTCAAATTTTCCCCGAAATGGAGGCTGAGAATGGTTTCAGCTGCAGTATCAAAAGAACCACCCGAACAAGATTCACGAGCGACCGATGCCCAAAAAACGAGGCCATCTTGAACCAAGAAATAATATGAGAGTGTGTCCGTAAGAGCTTACTTTGTAGCCCCCCAGCACATTACATGTGGCTTGGAGGTGACGCGTCGGCAACTCGGTAGACCGACTTCGTTGTACTCGCGTATGAATCTGGAGTTGCACGTTTCTTGGTGGAAACGTGAAGGCTAGTGGTGGGAAGAAAATGCTTCTGAGAACAACGGACGAGATAAATAGTTGTGTACTTCGCCGTATACCGTGCGCGGTGAATCCCATCCCATTCCATTCATTCAGCTATGTCACCAGCCATTTTTCCATTTTTGCGTGTGCGCCCATGGTCGTTTCACGTGGTGAACATTGCATGGCGACGTCATGCGCGACAGTATATATGCCATGTAACCCTGGTCGGGCTATGCCTCGAACGCGGACTCGAGGGGGGCCTCGATTGTCGTCGCGTCAACAAATATATGTGATATCAAGGACGGGTGCGGACGATGCCGAGAATGCGGCATTCGTGCACAAATGCCAAGAGATGACTCATGCCAAGGCCACCATCACACACTCCAGAGCTCCTCGCCAAGATATTCCACCTTCTTGCGTACTTGGATTGGAACATGTTTCTCACCGTACCCGCCTACACGACTACCGTTCACCTTAGAGAGATGTACCTTTCAGAGGCATTTTGTGTTGTCCAGCGGTGGCTTAATGATTCTATCGATGGCGTCGGCAGGATGGCGTCGGCAGTGAGATGTTGTTGTTTCAGGTTCTCGTTGGTTCAAATAAAGTCTAGAGGATGCTCCATCTTCAACAGTTTATTTCTTTGGTATGGAGCGTGTCGCTGTCTGCTCGACGCTGAAAAACTGGAAAGCGTCAGAGACAGACAGACAACGCCGACGATACTTTTGCTCTCTCGCTCTTTGATATCTAGCCGCTGGTATCTATAAATTTCAAGGTGCTCTCTTCCATGTCCCTGGGCGATAGCATACTCATTAAACAAGGCTCGTACCCCATTTATAGGAACGAAATGATGTGGCGGAACAACCCTTCCTCGCTAGTCTCAACAACCGCCATCACCGCCCGGACAAAATTCATCCTAGACCTTCCCGCCTCTAGTAGTTCTAGCTCGGGAGGGGATTGATCGCCCATACAAAACTCTTCAAAACATATTTGATCATGTTGGCCTCGTTGTAGCGTTCGAGCTTCCGCAACCTGGCAGGCTAGCCCTTGGACCTTGTCAAGGACCTTTGGTGACGCGCCCGCAGCATGATCAGCCAGCCCCGCGCGTGCCACCTTCTATGATCTGGAAATCTTCGCAAGCGATTCACCGCTCGCTGTGTCCTTCTCTTCGCTGTGACACACGAAACAAGGAAATGCAATGAATGGGAGTATATGATGGTGTTTCGGGAATAATACATACAACTCTCCATTTCCGACCGTGGGATACGGGGGACAGATGACGGCGTACTGACATGTTTCCCTTCGAGGCAGTACATAAGTCGGTTTCGCCTTTACACTTTATCGACAGAGGCCACCGCTTGCCATAAGCCTAAAAAATGTGTTGTTGAGAGAATGGAGTAGAATTCGTTGGTATTCCGGTTGAAATCAAAGAAGGAAGTTTGTCGCCAAGTTTAACGAAGAGGTAACACCAATTACTGTCTACGCGGGTGTTGCCTGTACCGTACGGGTCCGGAGACAAGAAACGTCAAAATCGGGCGTCTCGATTCCGTATTTTAGGTCGAAGGACCACACGAAGTCATCCATCCACTTTCTAAAAATGGGTTGCTTTTTTTTGGGACTGTGCAAGGGTGCACGCAACAAGTCATCCCGCACACCTAGGTACCCCCCGCCTAATTGGGGCTTAGAGCACACTCCACGCAAGACACTTATGGGGGATACGTCGTGTGCTACTAGGGACGACGTTTCACGCATACTTTGAGCGGGTTAGGTGCTCTCCTCATGTGCTACGCAACTGTTTCATGTGATCATGGCTTGGAGGTTCGAAAAAGAGGAAAGACTCTAGCTCGCGCATGGGGTACATGCGCAATTATAGGGTTCCCCCGCGCGGGGCACCGACGGTTTATATAGGAATTAGAGCACCGAAAATGTCCCAAAGAAGAACTTGGGTACATTGGTGTCGAAGAAAAATGTTTGGTGGCGTCCTGCTGATTTTCATTTTTCGAATATTCTCATTTCTTTACAATAATGCAAACAAACACATAATACACAGAGCATGTTGATCTCTGAGGAAAAACCACTTGTTCAAGCCCTCGAGAGAGGCGGCGTGGAGTGCTATCAACCCCGTTCCGCGACGTGTGGCAGTACTACAGAAGAAAATGTGTAGCGCAGCCCCCGGAAGGGCGCCGCGAAAACGATAGTCACTCCCTAGGACACACACTGCACAGCACCTAGGGAGGGGGAGCAACAGAAAATGCGACGTCACTTTTTGGACACGCTCCCCTAACCCTTGTTTCTTTTATCTTGGGGGTATTGCACGATCCAGTTTCTTATTAGACCTTATCTTATTTTGCGGCCGAGATTGAGCTGTCTGTGCGTCTTAGCCCCACTTTTATAATTTTCGTAAACGTTTGAGCAGTATTATCTCAATGGATCTTTTCTTAATCCTATTTCGGGCCCGTACTGTGTACAATATTGTATGTTTAGTAGAAAACTGACCATGCTCTCGACGAAGAACCTTCAACAACGACTGCTTCTACCGTGCTCACCGGCTTGTCGGGGGAGACAGCAGAGATGCGGCAGACACCACCGGAGACCGCAGCAGATGAAGACCGCCAAGGGCAAGGGCCCCCCACAAGCGCACATAACCATCTCGAGACAAAACTGAAAATTCGGATGGAGGGCAGGAAAAAACGGGTGGTGGGGAACGCAAGTCAGAACAACGGAAGTACCATACAGCAATCAGGGTGAGCTGTATCTTTAGCTGTATCTTTGACGTGGTCGATGCCGGCGCACGAAACAGCATGCGTGGAATGAATGGTATTCCGTGCAAATCCTTGGCGGCACCGAAAACGCATGGCAGTTGTTTAAGCTTGAACATGCGACAAGTTCAATGGTTTTTGGTGGCATCTACAAGAAGAAGAATGGTAGAATATCTACCTCCGACGCGGAAACCGTTCCCCGAAGCTCTGGGTTCACAGACGAGCCCAAATCCCGGTATCGTGATGAAACCGAGCGTGAGTGATGTACGCGGTGAACACCATATTCGACGGGTATCATGTTTCACAGGCACGGAAAAAAACAGAAGGGCGTCACCAAAACTGTGCGACAAGCGCAAGATCCCCAAAATCCACCCAATCCCCAGAATCTTACCTGGCCGATGGGGGAACAACAGCCGCTCCCACACCGATAACTGCAACAGAACCTGTGCCGTGGACCGTGGTGTTAGATTCGTGGGGTATTATCAATGATATGTTGCAAACTTGGCCCATAATCGGTACCATGACTCTCAACTAGCCATAGAACGAACTTTTGCGATGGGAGTTTTGCATAAAGTACAGGCAACAAAGTCCACATTGGAGTTAGTGCGGGACGCTGCACGTGCGATGCTGAAGATCGCATGAACTTCTATGGTTACCAATCAGAGTGTATCACAATATGGTGTCCTCCTACAACGACCGCGAGCCGCTTGCGAAATCGTTTTTGTTTGAGGTGGTCGGTTGCTCTTCGAAACACCCTCCTCGATGTAGCTGGAAGCGTGTGCCGGTATCTCCACGTGCAAATACTGTGTCGAATCACCGTTCAGGCGATCGCAGTTTGAAGGACCGAGT